GATTTAAATGTTGATTTATCGTAGGCTGTCTGGTCTTTTTTGATTCCCTTTCTCTGCTATGGATAAGTTAAAGGAAACTCTCTGGTCTTGACATAGAACTACAGGAAAAACGCTATAAATTTTGGATAGAGTAAGGGAAGGTTATAGCCTCTTTCTGTTTTTTTTGCCATCTGTGTTCCATTGGGGAGATTTCCCCCTACTTCCTGTCCCATAGCGAAACAGGTGAGAGGAAACCCTACAAATTAAAGTAGAACTTTAGGTAAAACTTTTTTTTTTTTTGGGATAGAATAAGGGAGGGTTATGACCCCTGTCAGTTTATTTAATGCTATTAGTGTGCTATTGGGGAGATTTGCCTTCACTTGCTGTCCCATAGCCTAAAGAGAAGTTAGAAAATCCTACAAATTATTGGGAAATGTTGAAGAGAAAAGTGGACACTATAGTTGTTAATGTAACGCTGCTTCATCCCTAAAAGAGTGCTAGAAGGCAACAAGGAAATCTCCTCTGGGACTTAAATGCAGCAGCAAGAAAAAAAAATAACTATCCAAAATATCGATAAACCCAGGTTTTATTGTGATTCCATATAAAATATTTGTTTATTAAAATCAAAAGACTCTTGTCTTTGTATGAGCCTAAGATATTATGTATAGCTTGTTCATTATACCATTATAATGTATCATCTATTCAAACAGTATGTAGTATTTACATGGCACATGTACAATAAAAGGAACAACATTGGAGATTACAGCGCAACATGACATCCCCAGTATAGCTTTCCAACGCATTTCGACTATAAAAAAGTCTTCATCAGGGGAACCTGGAGGAATGCAGTTATCACCGAAGTATAAAGACCATTAACACTGTCTAGTAAGTCAAAGATTTGCCTTGAGGGACCCACTCCTCCGCCTGGGTGACCAGACCCACAGGGAGCTGGAGCAAGGTTCATAGTTCAGCCGGCAGCACCCATCCTCAGCCCATCCTATGTTGGTCACTGTTCTGAAAGTTCAAGGAGGATTGACAATTGGAGATGAATAAATATGCCAAGAGCTGTATATAAATTCCCATGCCTTTGGAACGGACAGAGGAATGTTACTGATGTTCCCGCGCAGACAAAAGGAATTCCTTGCGGACCCCCAAGTCTCCAGAACTAATGTGCTTACTGGAAATATTCCCCTCAGTTACTTTTCTGGGGAAAACCCAGAATTTGGGGTTTCTTTCACTTCCACATTCAGTGATAATGGTAAACGGGACAAACAGAGATGGATGAATCTCTCTAATGGGAGCACAGACAGCAATAAAAACCTAATAGGTGTGCTAATCTCTCTCCACTCTATCCAAAACGAAAGAAAAACCATTTGCTTTTAGTTATACTTTAATATTTATCCTTTTGACTGGCTTTTATCATGCTGTGCAACCTGTCCCCAATAGCCTCTTTTCTTTCCTCAGACATCATCATATTCAATACAGATCAAATATTTCTGCAATGTATGTGAAAATGGTGAGGGCGACCCACAACGCGGAGGGTAAGACAGAAGCGGAGAGTGCTGCAAACCTGCTGCAGTACAGATGGCAGTAAATACCTGATAGGTGTTCTAATTCCTCTCCACTCTATCCAAAACTAAAAAAGAAAAAATGCCTTTATGTATATTTTAACTGCTTCCCCACTGCCCTATAGCAGAAGTACTTCTGCAGGGCTGTGCAAAATCACGTGATTTTGCATTTCCGGGTAGGGGGCGTGCGCGCCCCCCTACCTATGCTGCCATTGGCGGCTACAGATGTCAATCACCGGGTCCCGGACAAATATTCCCTGCCGACACCCGGTGATCACCGAGTATCACTAACATGGGAGAGACCAGTGTGTAAACAACACGAGTCTCTCTCCTGCCAGCAGTAACATGCTGCTGTGTATTTCTCTGCACAACAAATACACAGAAGCATGTTTCCCTAGTAAAACACACACAGTAAAATAGCATACAGCACACAGTTAACCCTTTGATTGCTCCAGATGTTAACCCCTTCCTGCCCAGTGTCAGTACAGTGCCAGTGCTTTTTATTAGCACTGATCACTGTATTAGTGTCATTGGGATGTCAGTGGCAGTTTCTCCCCAGTGTCAGAATGCCCGCCGCAGTCCTGCTATAAGTCGCTGATCGCCACCATTACTAGTATATACATTTAAAAACAATTCCAGTATATACACACCGCCATTTGTAGACGCTATAACTTTCACGTAAACCAATTAATTTACATGTTTTGTATTTTTTTAAGCAAAGACATGTAGCAGAATACATTTTGCCCCAAGTTTAAGACAAAATTTGTTTTTTTTTTTTTTTAAATTTTTACTGGATATGTTTTGCATCAAAAAGTCAAAAATAGTTTTTGTTTTTTTTTTTCAAAATTGTTGGTCTTTTTTTGTTTCTAACGCAAAAAATAAAAACACACAGGTGATCAAATACCACCAAAAGAAAGCTCTATTTGTGGGAAAAAAGGACATAAATTTCATTTGGATGCAGCACTGCATGACCGTGCAATTGTCAGTTACAGTAACGCAGTGCAATATCACAAAAAATGGCCTGGTCATGAAGGGGGTAAAACCTCTGGAGGGCAAGTGGTTAAGGAAATCCATTGGAGCCCCACAGGCCCCCCCAGAACTAGTGTCCCCATTGGAAGATTTCCCATTTATTGCTTTTCTGGCACAACACCAAAATTCGGCATTTTCTTTTACTTTCACATTTAAAGTGTTACTAAACCCACAACAGTAAAATCAGTCTGTATATGCAATAAAGAATGCTTGTTATACTCACTGTGGAACCTAAGGGGTTAATCCTTCATTGTGTAAAAAGGCCATTTGATCCTGACTTCTCTGCTCCTCCTTTTGTTTAAATGTCCACGCTGATAAGATAGACTGAACCTTAGCCATTCTGCACATGCTCGGTTTAGTGTGTATTGTTAGAGAGGTTTTTTTTTTCTTTCTTGGGAGAGTGCATGTGATTAGCACAGGGCCAATCAGCACTGTCCAGACAGAGGTCAGGAGTTCTGCATCCTCCTAGAGCAGAAAGAAAACTCCTACAAGCTTTATTTATTTATTTTTTTATATTATATCTTTTATTAGATTTTCTTTTATAAAAATACTTTGCAAAACTGCCATCAATTCTCATGACCTCATACACATACTCTTTGTCCCCATTCCCCCCCAATACAAAAAAAAAAATGCTTTAACCAGTGCTCTGCTGGACACTGATAGAAGTCACAAGACTGTTCTAACTGCAGATAAGAAAAGGTATTTAGCAGTTTATATTTACTACAATAATTGCATTTCCATGTTCTGTGTACCTTGGGAGACCAGATATAGTGAATGCAGGGTCCGGGGAGACCAGATATAGTGAATGCAGGGTCCGGGGAGACCAGATATAGTGAATGCAGGGCCCGGGGAGACCAGATATAGTGAATGCGGGGCCCGGGGAGACCAGATATAGTGAATACGGGGTCCTGGGAGACCAGATATAGTGAATGCGGGGTCCTGGGAGACCAGATATAGTGAATGCGGGGTCCGGGGAGACAAGATATAGTGAATGCGGGGTCCTGGGAGACCAGATATAGTGAATGCAGGGTGCAGGGAGACCAGATATAGTGAATGCAGGGTCTTGGGAGACCAGATATAGTGAATGCAGAGTCCTGGGAGACCAGATATAGTGAATGCGGGGTCCGGGGAGACCAGATATAGTGAATGCAGGGTCCGGGGAGACCAGATATAGTGAATGCAGGGTCCGGGGAGACCAGATATAGTGAATGCAGGGTCCAGGGAGACCAGATATAGTGAATGCAGAGTCCTGGGTTTAGTAACACTTTAAAGTGGTCTTTTTAAGAAAAAAAACCCCAAAAACCTGCAGGACAATGGCATAATGTGCTAATATGCTACCCATACTAGCACATTATGAAATGTTTACCTTAAAACAAAACACTACAGCAGCTCGCTGTCACCACTGATAGGGCTTCCATGTTCACCCAGTCTTCCTTCCGGGTTCCTGTGCTCCAGCTGTCTGACTCGCCAAGCCGCGATGACGCCACTTCCGTGCATGCGTGTGGGAGTTTCGGCTGCAGCACAGAGCTTTGAAGGGATGGCACAGGTATGTCATCCCTTCAAAGCATAATCGCTGGGACATAATATCAACACCTTGAGTAAAAAAAAGTCTGGTATGAAATAAATCCAGTAAGAAAAGTTCCCGTGGATTTAAACATATGTGGGATGTACACAAACAGCAGGAACTTCAGATGTTCACTCGATCTAAAATCCTGAAGAATCTAGTACAATGATGCGCGAACCCAAGGCATACAAACTGAGCGTTGTATGCACATCAGCCTATATCTGTGGGCACACCAGGAGAACTCCAGGGCACCGCTGACCACCGGATCTTTGTAGTGTGGAGACACCGAAACTCCAAGTGCGCATGCACAAGAAGCAGTGCTATTTGTGAATGGTAAGGCGGTACCTGGGACACATGCTCCCAGAAGCCGCCGGACCAATCACCAAAGCCTTTTGCCTTTGGCTCGCATGCGCACTGGGCATTTCCGGCTGTCCGCCCACCACTCAGGGAAGACAACGCGGAGGCTGGATAAAGGAACAGGTAAGATAAAAAAAAAAACCTCTGCGTGAAGTGCTGAGCGGGTACCTGTCAAATTCAGGTACGTGGATGACCCCTCCCTCCCCAAAGGTCAGCAGTCATCCCTGTGCTGTCCGCTGTCTGATGGTCATCCCTGATGTCCGCAGTCATGGTCATCCCTGTGCTGTAGTCTTCTGGTAATCGCCTGTGCTGTACAGATCTCTGGTCATCCCTGATTTGTCCGCAGTCTCTGGTGATCATCCTGTGCTGTCCGCAGTCTTGTGTACATCTCCTGTACTGTATGTCTCTGGTCATCTCCTGAACTGTCTTACCGCAGTTTATTTATTTCATACCTGTACTTGTTTTTCCGCAGTCTTGGTAATATTACTGTCCCGCAGTCTGCTGGTCATTTCCTGTACTTGTCCGCAGTCTTGGTCATATGGCGCTGTACTGTGTCCAATTATTTGGTCATCCCTGTACTGTCCCGCAGTCTCTGAGGTCATCCCTGTACTGTGTCCGCAGTCTTGGTCATCCCTGTACTGTCCAGTCTCTGTCATCCCCTGTACTGTCCGCAGTCTCTGGTCATCTTCTGTACTGTTCGCAGTGTCTGGTATCTCCTGTAAACTGTGTCCGCAGTCTCTGGTCATCTCCTGTACTGTCCGCAGTCTCTGGTCATCTCCTGTACTATCCACAGTCTCTGGTCATCCCTGTACTGTGTCTGCAGTCTCTGGTAATCCCTGTAAACAGTGACGCAGTCTCTGGTCATCTCCCTGTACGGGGTGCCGCAGACTCTGGTCATTAACCCTGTACTGTGTCCGCAGTCTCTGGTCATGCCCTGTACTGTGTCCGAAAGTTTGCTCTTGTTCACCCTGTACTGTCCGCAGTCTCTGGTCATCCCTGTTCTGTCCGCAGTCTCTGGTCATCCCTGTAATGTCCGCAGTCTCTGGTCATCCCTGTACTGTGTCCGGTCTCTGGTCAATTATCCCTGTACTTGTGTCCCGCAGTCTCTGGTCAGTCTCTGGTCCCTGTACTGTTAATTAGTTTGCACTACTGTACGAGTTGTTTTTTCTAAACCAAAAGCTCGATATTCAGGTTTCATTGCAGTGTTGGCACTTTGAAAGAAGCTGCCACGCCGGGGGATTTTTTTTTTTTTTTTTGCAGTTTGGGCACTCTGCTCAAAAAGGTTCGCCATCACTGATCTAGTACAATAATGCGCTTCCCATGAAGAACATACAAACTGAGCGTTAAATGCATGTCATCAGGTATACCATCAGCTGGGATCCACCCAGCAGACGCCACTAACCTGCAGGGAACCAGTGACCACCAGGGATCTTTGTATATGCCTTGGAGATCACCTGAAACTCTAAATGTGAGTTGTTTATACCAATTTTTTATTTGATTATCAGAATAAAGACATGCTTTCACCATTAGTTTTTTTGCCTTTGGCTTTTATTTGCGAGCCGTTTAAGGTGGACCATCTCAGGAGAAGTACCACCAGGAGGCTGGACGTCGTTGGACCCACCTGTGAACCAGATGTGACCCCTGAGTGTTTGCTGAGGCCCTCGAGTGTCTAACGTGGATGACCGGTTACTGTTCTCATTGCTGTCAAAAGGCCTTTTCCAGCTGCTGATGGTATACCTGATGACATGCATACAACGCTCAGTTTGTATGTTCTTGTGGTAAGCGCATTATTGAACTAGATTCTTCAGGATTTTAGATCGAGTGAACATCTGAAGTTCCTGCTGTTTGTGTACATTACCCACATATGTTTAAATCCACGGGAACTTTTCTTACTGGGTTTATTTATTTCATACCAGACTTTTTTTTACTCAAGGTGTTGATATTATGTCCCAGCGATTATGCTGAGATTTCGTGTTTAACATTTTATCATTTGTTTTATGGCGCTGCATATTCCAATTATTTGTATTTTGATCTGAGGTGCTGAGGATTGCCTTATTTGCTAGCTGCCGATATTTTGTGTTTTGCGCTCACTTGCCTTATCTTTATTTATCCCTTCAAAGCGTATGCGTTGGTGACGTCACCTGCTGCACGCAGTGTGAATATCTTGTAAACAGTACAAGTTCAGGAGATATTTAGCGTACCTACTCTACAGGCTTACCTGTATATACAAGTAAAAAAAAAAAAAAGGCTTGCTTCCACTTTAATCGATAATGGTAAACAGGACAAATAGGAAGAGAGAATCTCCCTAACGGGGGCACAGACCGCATTAAAAACCAAATAGATGTTCTAATCCATCCATGCTCTGTCCAAAACTAAAATGAAAGGTTTGCCCTTTGTTACACTTTAAAGTGATATTAAACTCTATTTTTTAGTTTTCTTCAGTAAAGGTCCACACTTGCATTAAATGCTGCTTTCATTTTCCTCCTCCTCTGACCCGGTCCAATTATCCCTGCCCCCTTTTTCAGACATTGTCAGGTGTCTCTTTGCAGCCCGATGTGAAGAGGCTGCCTACTTCAATATGTTCAGGTATCCCAAGAGGCAACCAGACTGAAGACTGTGCTCCTCCTACAAAGAGAAGTGATTGACAACGGCTCACAAGGCAGCTGCCACGCCGGGGGATTTTTTTTTTTTTTTTTCAATGAATGGGCACACTTCTGCACTGGTGCAATGAATCATGGGACATGTAGTTCCGATGAGTGTTAACAGTAGACTGCTGTAAATGCTCTGACTGTGCTCCCCCCCCCCCCCCCAAAACAGGAATTCTGCTGATGGAAACTAGCTAAGTTGCATGTTTTTAAATGGACTGTGCTATATCAGTTTATTGTTTATTGCAGTGTTCAATTTTGTTCTAGGTAGATTTTGTTTTTTTTTTGTTGTTTTTTTTTTTTAAGACACCAAGGAGTCTTTAGGATTGCTTTATTTGCAAGCAAAGCCTTGAGAGGCCCAAAGGGAACACTGACAGGGTTTTGGGTTTTCATTCAGACCTAGTGTAGTAGTGAATCAGTCTACCTCACTCCCTTGTGACACAAATCAGGTGATCTTGAGAACCGGTGATAGTGATCAGAGATCTACAAACACCCCTGCAGGCTGCTTACCTTCTCCCATCATTAATATTATACAGGATTTATATAGCGCCAACAGTTTGCTCAGCACTATATATTGTAAAATTGTCATTACAAAATTTAGTAGCATCGCAGCCACTATTCTCCTACCTGGTTTGAAAGTGGTGATCTATCAAGCAGAGAGGTACAAGGCATAGGCTTTAGGAAGTAGACTTGTCCATCAGACAGGTAAGGTGGCGGACCTGGGCATGGTTGGGTGGGGCAACTGGTGGAGAGTAAGTTTTGTGACCGGCTAGTAGGTCTGGACTTGAAATTTTAACCCCTGGAATAGTGCCCCATTGTTGGTGTCAGTGGGAGGAATAGTGCCTCATTGTTGGTGTCAGTGGGAGGAATAGTGCCTCATTGTTGGTGTCAGTGGGATAAATAGTACCTCATTGTTGGTGTCAGTAGGATAAATAGTGCCCCATTGTTGGTGTCAGTAGGAGGTATTATGCCCCATTGTTGGTGTCAGTAGGAGGTATTATGCCCCATTGTTGGTGTCAGTAGGAGGTATTATGCCCCATTGTTGGTATCATGAAGAGGAATAGTGCCCCATCATGGTTGTCAGTGAGAGGAATTGTGCCCCATCATGGGGTGTCAGTGAGAGGAATTGTGCCCCATCATGGGTGTCAGTGAGAGGAATTGTGCCCCATCATGGCTATCAGTGAGAGGAATTGTGCCCCATCATGGGTGTCAGTGAGAGGAATTGTGCCCCATCATGGCTGTCAGTGAGAGGAATTGTTCCCCATCATGGGTGTCAGCAACAGGAATTATGTTCTATTATTAGTGTCATTGGATTGAATAGGGCCCAAAGGTCAGGATAAAGGCAAGCAAAGGGCCACATCCAGCCCCCGGGTTGCAGTTTGGGGATCTCTGATTTAGAAGGAAATGGTGATCAGACAGGCTAGTAGTCTTACTGTCTTCTTCTGAGATGAGCCTGAAGTAACTAACGAAGGTGCAACACTCAAAGTGACCCATCCATGTTCGTGGAAGAGCGAGCCCAGGCACTGTGATGACCCTGCATTCAGTTATTAAGGATATATTTGCATTGAATTTGGAGATCTGTGACCTTTCTATCTGTAGCAGCCTGCAGCCTCCGACATTTATATGGTCCCTGAACTCTGCTGTGAAATCGAATCTTCTCCTCGTTTACAGCGGGGGTTACATTATCCCATATATAATGAAATTGCTGGTAATTGGAGTCACTGGCAGATTAGCCATTTGACTCGGGTCTTTCAGTGATCAGCAATTCCTCTTTTTTGTTCTTTGCACATGGTGTGTGTTTTTCAGGAACACCGGAGATCTAATGCAGAAATGTACAGGAAATGTACAGGAGTTCATTTTACATCTGTATGTATCATGTTTTTTGGGCATTCAGTATTTTTCCCTGTTGAAAATAATAGAAACATCTGTATTTGGGTTCCATGCAAGGAATTTTAACTCATTTAACTTATTTAAAGTGGTTGCTAAATCCTTACATACACCCTGTAAAGTGCCTGGCCTCAGGTGATACACAAAGATTAAACAAATCCTCCTACATAAGTTGTACCTGTTTATCTGCGGTCTTCTCTTCTGTACATCCATTCAAATTGCAGAATTTGTAAAGCTTGTCTGAGCTTTCAGAATAAAGGGGATGGAGAGCTGAAATTATGCACTGCAGTGAGATGAGTTCTGAAGAGACACTCCCCCTCCACACAGCTCATAGGACAGAGCTGAGACTGTCAGTTTGCTGGAGGTCCCTCCCCTGTCACCATTTTTCTCTTGGTGTCAGGAAAACTTGACAATTGATTCATGCTGATAGCAGAGGAACAAAGCAGCGGACAGAAATGGCACTTGTTGCTCTGGACTGAGACAAGTACATACTATAGAGCAGCAATGGGCAAACTACGGCCCGCGGGCCGTATACGGCCCGGCGGACCTTTTAATCCGGCCCGCGGAGCGTGATACTGTCAGGATGGCTGTCAGGATGTGTGTAGGCGGGGCAGCGTGACGAACGTGAGGAGAGCTAGGTTCCTCTCACAGTCCGCCCTGAAGACTGGAACGGTGCGGGAACACGGCGAGAGGAACGCGCGGAGCAAAGGTAAGTAAATTGACACAGGGGGGACTTGGGGACTTAATATGGGGAATGAATTACTATAGGGGGATGATGAATTACTATAGGGGGGATGAATTACTATATGGGGGATGAATTACTATATGGGGGATGAATTACTATATGGGGGATGAATTACTATGGGGGATGAATTACTATATGGGGGATGAATTACTATGGGGGATGATTACTATACTGAATTACTATATGGGGGATTAATTACTATGCTTACTATGGGGGAATATTACTATACTTACTATGGATGACACATACACATCATTCATCTACTCTTGGTCCGGCCCCCGGGTCCAATATATGAACCCATTGCGGCCCTCAAGTCAAAAAGTTTGCCCACCCCTGGTATAGAGGGATATGCTTTCTTAATATTTAATGTCTGAGGTTTAATGGCTCAGGATACAATAAAAACACTCTAGTCAATAACCTATTCTATGCTGATCCTCTCACACCCATGTGGCCACTTATCTCTGTTTGTGGCTGACTTCTGCTCTGTTTTACCTAAGCATGAATGGGGTCTTATTCCACTGGTATGGGTATGGCCTATCTATGGTGAATTACCATGCAGACATGGGCAGTGTGGGACAAGACTTCTGCACAGTGGCTGCAAACAATGAGTGGGGCTGTTGCTGTTGGAATGGTAATCGGCACCTTGGTGCGTAGGGGTAGCTTAGCCTGGGTTAGATGGCTAGGTAGAAGGAGTTTAATTTTTTTTTTTTCTACAAATGTGACCATGTCCTTTAAACCCTGTATAAGTGAATGATGAGAACTAGCATGCACTAGTTATAGCAACCATGTAAGTCTCATAGGAAAATTAAAAATTTTGGGTCCCTGCAATTGAAAAATTGAAAAAAAACCACTAACATTAATCTTGCCTGTGTCTCCTTCCTTTGCTCTGTTCCAGAACAGCAGCTTCCATCAGACACTTACTGCAGTGTCGGACGATTTTGTCCCCAGCAATGCGCTGTATGTCACTCCATCCTCCTGGATTGGAGGATGGAACTGCCTGAAATATGAAAACATTTCAAGTCTAGGGTTAGTTTACCTTCATCAAAAAACTGGCTATACAGGAAAGGGGTGCCTCTAGCTTTGACTCAGGTCCTTTTGCCATAATTTTCAAGGGTGCCAAAAGTGCATGAAAACTCTTCCCTATTAAAACCTCTGTAGCTTTGAGAAGTCCTGCATGCTGCATCTTTGCAGTTTTTCAAAAGCACACCAAAAAGGCACTTGCCACTGTAAGTTAATGGAAATGCATCAAACGTACATTAGTTGGATAATGCTCTTGTTAAAGCGGAGCTCCACCCATAAGGGGAAGTTCCACTTTAAAGACTGGTCCCCGCTCCCCATTAAAGATTGTCACCATTGGGGAGCGGGTGCCTGAAATTGACAGGTACCCGCTTCCTGTTCCATTGCGATCACCTAGGTGATTGGAAATGGAAGTTGTGTATACCCCCTCACCGCCACCCCCCCATCCCTCTCCATAGTCTTCTGGGACATGTGACAGGTCCCAAAAGACCATTCAGAAAGAGCAGCGCTACTCACGCATGCGCAGTGGGCACCTGGCTGTGAAGCCAACAGCTGTCAGTCGGATGCCGGTGCCAGGAATACCAGACGGCCGGTGAAACGGGCTGCAGTGAGGACTGTGTGGGATCAAGGGACAGGTGAGTGGCTGTTTTTAGTGGCTACAGTTTTGGTGGCTGCTGACTTTTAGTTTGTTTGCATTGTGACTTGAACACCGCTTTAAGTACTTCCCTGGTCAAAAAAACACATATGGTATCATCATGTCCTGTCTTGTTGCTAGGATGTAGCTAAGACACTCCCAGTCATTACTGCTCACCCCCAACATCACAGGAGCAAGGTTTCAAACCCCCCACATACGTGTGGTCCACTATCTCCTCTGCTGCAGCATCACTAAGCTCAGTGACAGTGACGTGCGCGCGCATGCAAGGGCAGTTGAATCAGCTGTGAGTGTCTTGGTAACATGGCAGGACAGGATAATGTCATCTCTGGGAGATTTTTCTGCCAGGCTTCTGGAGGCACTTAAAAGCCTACACCTACAGCAAGGACATTATTAACTTTGGTTAAAGATGCACGGTTTGTTTTTCTACAGGCTTCTTACCTGCATAAGAATGTTTTTGGTAAAGGTGAACTAACCCTTTTTTGTTGTTTGCAGATTATTATTTGCCTCATACAACGGTGATGCTTTTTCTGTCAATTTAATTCTTTCAGCAACTCTAGGCTCCTGAGCGAAGCCATGGTGGACCAGTGGGTGGTGTCCCAGGGTTTAAATCAGTTAATGACTCTGCTTGAACCACGGTCCCACGCCTTGTGTTGTGCCATGGCTGTGCTGAGGAAGTGGCAGCTGGAAGGAGCCCGGAGTTGAAGGACTATGGCATTGTTTCTTCACTCTTTAGATTTTTGGTGGTGTAAAAGATTTAGGTTCATTACAAGGTTTTGGTCTCTGTTCAAACCGCTTCCTGTTCTTTAATTACTCATTCTTTGGCATTGCTTGCAGTTTAACCGTAAAAGAGGGAGCTCTTTGCGTTTTGATAAGCACACAGCCCTTTACTTTCTCTGCCTTATTTCTTCGTTTATATCGGAGTTGTTTTCTGATCTTTGTTTTCCCTTTACAGGAGCCCAGCGGGGGATCTTGGAGCTAAGAAGAAAAAGAAGAAACAGAAGAGGAAAAAGGAAAAGCCGAATTCTGGGGGGGCCAAGTCAGACTCCGCATCTGATTCTCAAGAAATCAGAACACAGCAGCCTGCAAAAGTCAGTCATGTCTAAGTTTTGATCTTTAATAGGAAATAACACATCATATCAGTTGTTAAGGTCCAAAAGTGTTAGAATGTACAGTGTGTGTTTTTTACGGATCTATTTATATAGATAGATACAGTAGAAAAATACATAGATTTGGTGGATAGATATGGTAGGTGGATGGATCGATTGGGTAGGTAGACAGACAGATCGATTAGATGATAGATTAGATAAGGTAGAGAGATGAACAGAGATCGATGCAATGGGGTTTATTTACTAAACCTGGAGAGTGCAACAACTGGTGCATGTCTGCATAGAAACCAATCAGCTTCCAGGTTTTTTTTTGCCAAAGCTTAATTGAACAAGCTGATAGCTGATTGGCTGCCATGCACAGCTGCACCAGATTCTGAGATCTCCAGTTTTAGTAAATCTCCCCCGATATGTCCACTTGAATATGTGATGTATCATTAAAATTCACACTTGGTAGGACGGCAATCAGCATTACTAAATTTGATTATTAAAATAGCACCTCTTTATTGCCATAAATAGTTTTGTGTTAACCCTTTTATGACCAAGTAACACCTATGAAGCATCCAGGAAGTGAACTTTATACAGTAGGTATAGAAAAGAATCGCCCCCCTGTATATACTCCGTGCAACTTATAACATCCAAGTGAAAGTTAAAACACCAACATGTCAGAAGTAAAAATTTCAAAAAATTCTAAAAAAAAAATCACTGAGTTGAAAAAAAGGATCACCGCCTTGTGTCAGTATTTTGTTGAACCCCCTTTTTGCTTTAATTCCAGCCTTTAGTCTGTTAGGATATGTCTCTACTAACTTTGCACATCTAGACTTTGCATTATTTGCCCGCTCTTCTTTGCAGAACTGCTCAGGTTCATTTAAATTTGATGGTGACTGTTTGTGGACTGAAGTCTTCAAGTCATTCCACAGATTTTCAATGGGGTTTAAGTCTGGGCTCTGACTAGGCCATGCAAGGACATTCACCTTTTTCTCCTTCAACCACTGTATGATCATGTTTGCTGTGTGCTTTGGGTCATTGTCATGTTGGAAGTTAAATCTTCTTCCCACAGACCACTTTTTGGCAGAGGGCAACAGATTTTTCTCAAAAATTTGACCGTATTTAACCCCATCCATTTTTCCTTCTATCCTGACAAGTACTCAAGTCCTTGCTGCAAAGACCCCCCCCCCCCCCATAACAGGATATTACCACCTCCATGCTTTACTGTAGGAATGGTGTTATTTGAATGGTGAGCTGTACTGGATTTCCGTCAGACATATTATTTAGTGTTGAGGCAAAAAAATTCAATTTTAGTCTCATCTGACCATAACACCTTTTTCCATGTGGCCTCAGAATCTTCAAGGTGCGTTTTGGTAAAGCTCAGTGGTGACTGCATGTGGCCTTTCTTCAGGAGCGGCTTTTTTCTTGCAACCTTCCCATACAAGCCACATTTGTGGAGAATTTGTGATATTGTCACGTGCACACAATGACCACTCTTTGTTGTAAATTCCAGCATCTGCTTCAGAATTGCTGTAGGTCACTTGGTAGCCTCTCTGACCAGTTTTCTCTTGGCTCTCTCATCCAGTTTGGAGCGACGTCCTGAGCCAGGGAGGGTCTGTGTTGTATCAGATACCTTCCACTTCTCAATAATAGAATTCACTGTGCTTCTAGTTATTAATAAAGCCTTTGAAATGTTTTTGTATCTATCTCCAGACCTGTGCCTGTCCACAACTTTATCCCGGAGATATTTTAACAGTGCCTTGCCACCCATAGTTGATTGTTTGCTTCAGTTGCACTATCAGAGACTGAAATGCTCCAGGAAAGCTCTTTTCATGCTGAGCTAATCAAAATGATCACAATTGAAAGTCATATTGCTTTGTGTGCCATTGAGAAGATGATTAGCTACACTTGATTGAGTTTGGGGGGGTTGATCCTTTTTCAAACTCAGTGATTCTGTTTTTGAATTTTTTGTGTAAATTCTTTTCTGACATGTTGGTGTTATATCTTTCACTTAGATGTTATAGGTCGAGTAAATACAGCTGGATAAAACAGAAACTGTGTCTGTCTTCATTTCAGGCTGCAAAGCAACAGCGTGTGTATTTTAAAGGGTGGGGGGTGATTCTTTTCTATACCCACTGTACTTGGGCACCATATGTGTTCCTGAGTTTGAGCTGGAAACACACTCAATTGCGCACTCCCAGCACTGAGACTGAGCCGCCGATGACAGCTCTGGGTCTCCTACTAACAATCAGTAATCTGCAGAACTGGCTCTCAGTCACATGATTGCTGTGATTGGCTATCACAGTGATCATTCACTTTATTACCCATCCCTGTGTTGTTTCTCCTGTGTGAAGCATACAGATACATTATATTTTTTTCCTCCTCACTGGGGGAGATGTCTGTGCAAAAAAAAAAAAAAAAAAAGATTTAACTAAATCAATGTGTAATCTAGTTTAGTGAGTGCTTATGCCAGCATTGGTGTCAGTTAGTGGCAGTGTGTTAGTTAGGCCCCTTTCACACTGCAGCTCTGATCAGGACCACTGGACCTGATTGGATGGCCCATTCACCCCATGGAAAGACGAGTATAAGTGCACTTGTGATGTTCACTAAAAAGTTAGTTACCAAAGAAATGTTCCAATAAATACAACACTTCTATTATACCAACATCATTGCGCCAATGTAATAAAGAGAGGAAATACACTCACTGGATGCTGCTATTATTAAAAAACTCAAAATAATAATAAAAATGTGAAATATATAGAAATCACAAATAATAGCGCAAACCAAATCACACAACTAAATACAACCACCACCAAATAAGTGCATATTAATAGTGCAAAAAAAACAAATCAATAAATAGAGAATCTCAATATAGACCATTCAGAAAAGTCCATATAAACATGATCCTCAGTAAATGAAGTAATGAGATCCTCCTTCATATGCAATGTGGTATTCAGTGCTCAAAAACACCCTATCAAAATGTGCTAGTAATTAACCAGCATGTCAGTATATATCCAGCATTCACCAAACAGACTTCAAAGGACGATCCTCATGTGTTGGTAATTACTCAGCATACTACTGTGTATCCAGCATATCACCAAACAAACTCCAGAGAAGATCCTCTCATATCCAGATTAGCACATGTGGGTAAAGGAAATACTCGCCATAGTGCAGTATCATCCAACAAAATTTATTGCCAAACAAACCCCCCTTAAAATCACACTCACAATGAGCAAATAAAAACAAGGCGTTTTGTTATATCAGAGCTCCAGTCTCTGCATCCTGTGTCTCACCAGCCAGCCCTCATTCAAGATGGTAGTAGTGCGATCACGTGATCCGGACACGTGCATCAGCATGAGTAGTGATGTCACAGGAAGGCCACACCCGAACGCGTTTCGTCCAATGACTTCTTCCGAGGGAATGTGATGTTGTTACATAAATGAAAGAAAAACTGTAAATGGTGCATTGTGTAGTAATCGGCGCATCACCCTCTTCCCTTCATATTGCACACCAGTGGCTGTGGCATAATGTGGTCTGCTGGTGTGAACGAGCCTTTATTGTCACAATGGCAAGCTCTGTTCCACAGTATGTATAGTTTACTTATCTTTGTTGATATGCTGCCCCTTGCAGGCAGTGTTCTGTCCTGTTGGACTACAGAGCACCTCCCTATGTCTCATGGAAATGAGGAGATGGTCCAGCAGGAGAGAACTGGGCATGGCCAAAAACACTGCTTAGAATTTTACTCCAGCAATGACAGTGTTGTCAGCTCACTGCAGAAAGTTAGGGGCTCACTGGATTTTTGGAAGATCGCTAGGTATTTTTTTTGTACTTGCTGCTTTTTAACAAGATAAAATATGAGGAAATGTGCTTGTCATGCAGAGATCTACCTATTTTTTCTTTTTTTTTAAATTTTGCCCAGACATACACTTTTATTCTTTTCTTTGTAGTAGACGATGTTTTTTAAAGTTTTCTGACTTATCGATAAAGTAGACAATGGTTTGTTTCTCAGTGTTTAGTGGAAGACTTGGTACTTCCTTTTGGTTGCCCTCGACATCCTTTCTGGTGACATTACATAGGATATCTACATAAATACATATACTGTACACATAGATTCTACAAACACTCTTCTCTTCTAAGCTGCCGAGATGCGAGAATCACATGGAAAGGTTCCTGATCTTTTTCTGAGCAGTCGCTCCGTGATGCAGAACGTGTTTTCTCCAGTGAAAGCCAGAAAAGTGTTGTGTACATTTGATGTGAATTATTTATTTTCAGCTGTTGCTCGCAGCTGCTTTACACGGGGTCACTAGGGACAAGTGAAGTAAACATTGTGCTTGTAAAGAGAACATGTGCCTGTATTCCTCTCAGACAGCTCTATGTACGATACATAGACGGGACCCTGTTCATTAGTGTCCGGCTGGGCAGTAAATTGAATGACGTCTTAGGTGAAGTCTGTTCCATGCATAAAACACTTTCAAATTTACATCTGTATTTCAGAAGACTACAAGATTCTCCTATCACCATATCTTAGTTCCCATTCACATCTGTGCACCATGGTAACATGCGAGATATCGTGTGCGTTCACCTAGCGCCCAAAAACATGTTAGCATTTTAGGTGTGCAGAAGTGCCATTTATTCTTAACTACTTGCCCTCCGGAAGGTTTTACCCCCTTCATGAAAAGCTTTTTTTTTTTTTTGCTATTTGGCGCTGTGCTACTTTAACTGACAATTGTGCAGTCATGCAACACTGTACCCAAATTACATTTAGATTATTTTTTTTTCACACAAATATTGCTTTCTTTTGGTGGTATTTGATCACTGGTATTTTTATTTTTTATTGTATAGACAAAAAAAGACCAAAAATGTTGGAAAAAAACAATATTTTTTTATTTTCTGCAATAAAACATATTCATTAAAAAAAAAAAATTCTTCATAAAGGTTGTCCAAAATGTATTCTGCTACATATTATTGGTAAGTGTATATTAATTTGTTTGGATGAAAGTTATAGTGTCTACAAACTATGGGATATATACTGGAATTTTTTTTTTTTTTTTTTTGGTAACTACTAATGGAGGTAATCAGCGACTTATAGCAGGACTATGATAGTACGGCGGGCAATCTGACACTTTGTGGGAACTGACTATCTGACATTACCAGTGACACTAATACAGTGATTAGTGCTAATAATATACACGTTCAATGTACTATCCTAGATTGTAAGCTCCAAGGATCAGGGCCCTCCTTTCCCTCTTGTATTGAACTGTATTGTTGCTGTATTGTCTCCCGTTATATTGTAAAGCGCTGAGCAAACTGTTGGCGCTTTATAAGTCCTGTATAATAATAATAATAACACTGGCTGGGAAGGGATAACATCTAAGGGCAATCAAAGGGTTAACTGTGTGCCTAACAGTGCTTGGTGTGTTTACTGTGTGCTGAGGGAAACAAAAAATGGCACATCCCCGCTGTCAGGACAGAGCTCTGTGCTGTTTACAATTATAGAGCTCTGTCCTGTCATCTGCTTTGTCGATCGGTGGGTCCCGGCCATCAATCATTGGCCAGGATCCACTAATCGACTTGTGCTGTAACTAATCACAGCACAGCCGGGGTGGGGGGCGTGCGCGGCCCCCTACCCAGAAGAGTTGGATCACATATCCGATACGTGATCCAGCGGAGAGAAGCCGCTTTGCCGCCATACTTGTAAGTGAGGTGGTCGGCAAGCAGTTAATGGCACCTTCGCACACCTTGCTATGGAATGAGCATTTTAGGCGTCACCACGGCAAATAGTATCGTGGACGCTCCCCTGCCTAGCTGTGCATGTGTTGTCAGAGGAGATGCGATCTACCAAACAGCTTCCTAAGATTGGCGGGTTGATTGCAATGGAACCCTGTGAACCTTGGTTGAGAGCAGGGGCGGACTGACAACTCATGGGGCCCCCGGGCAATAGGGGATCATGGGGCCCCTGTGTCCTTGCCCAAACTCAAAAAAGCCTATGAAAAAGATACAAGGGGCATCTCATAGGGCACCCTACTGACCCTGGGCCCTCGGGCAGTTCCCGAGTTTCCAAATGGTCAGTCCGCCCCTTTTTGAGAGAGCCTGCTATAGACAGTAAATGTGAGGGTTTTGCTTACTATGCATATGTCTAAACTTGTTCTATCGGGTTTACATAAACTTTTACTATTTTTTTTTTTTTTTTTTCAAAAAGGCTGTATTTGCAAAGCATTTCGATTAGTAAATGAAAAGAAGCCTCTGATTGGTTGGTGAGGTGAATGGACACGTACTGTGAGAGGAGGCATACTTTGTAAGGTACTCTAGATACAGACACAGAAATAGGGCTCATGTACACTGCAGCTGATAAACTCACATTTAGGAGCTGTTCAGCGTTTTTTTTTCAGCTGCCCCTGAACTCTCCCTAATGTTTTCCTATGTCCATGTACACATCTTCATTTATAGGCAGTTGAGTTGACAGTCGTTTCTTTGAACGCAGAAAACTTGCGTTCAGGAGTAGATTTTATCAGCGTTTCAAACGCAAAATGCTTGTAAACGCGGCTAACCGCGTTTATAGGCTTTTGCTGTTGAAATTTTTTTTTAACTCTTCCATTTCCAGATGCTGTCCAGAGCCTTTTTTTATCTTGAAAAATGCATGCAAAGTATTTTCCCGGTACTCAAATGGACCTGGAACACCATAATTTGAGGTTTTGCATTAAAAAAATATGTTAGACACTGCTGCAATAATATCTGCACAGAAATGAACCGGAACACATCCAAAAAAAAGACAGCTAATCTCAACACATACTGCTCTCTCTACTTCTGCTCTATTTCTCTCAAAATGTCTGAAATAGTTAATTTTTTACTGTTTTTCAGTGCTTTCTGGGCATTTTGGAAGGTCTTCTGAGGTTATCTTAAAAAACGCTTCTCTAACGCAAACGCGCATAAACGCGGTATGCAAACGCAGCTAAACAGACGTTTATTTAACCTACATTTTCCAGCAGTCAGTTTCCATCGTTCAGAAGTGTCCCGTGTATATGGGGCCATAGTGTAAAAATGTCAACTTGGCAAGGCCTTTCCAATGACATGCTGGAGTCCCTCGGGTTTCGTGAATGGAGAGGGTGAAGTGACAAGGTGGTTTTCAAGCTGACTCCAGCCTTCATACTGTTCAATGAAGGAAAGGCTAGTGGGAAGCGTGTATGGGTCCTTCAAAGGGAACCTATCACAAAAGAACATGTTCACCCCTGGTGCACAGAAGTGCCAACCCTGCTGTGTGTCCACAAAGCATTCTTCAACACTCAGAAGAATAATCTGATGTAGCCATTGTATATCTTGGCTAGAATGGATGCTTCCTTAGGTCTCTTTAACTCTTGTGGTGGAATGCTGTGCCCTCTGAAGAGCAGTCCTCTTGCTTTTCAGAGGACCTTTGACAGGAGTCAAGGAGGTGTTATTCAAAATAAGTAACTTAATAACAGCTTACCAGTCATCCGGAATGTTGGTTGCATTAGTTTTCTTCTTTCAAGCTCTTTTTTTTCCACCTGGTGATTCTGCCAGTAACACACTTCCAGTCCTTAGATGACAAAACTTACCCTTCTGTATCAGGACAACAGAAACAAGATAAGGCACTACGGAACACCCTGCCCCTCTTGTTGTCCATAATGTAGAGGGACATGGTATTGTAGTAATCAGAGAAGAGAGTAATTGATAAATGTCAGCACAGGCAGAGAGCGCAGGTCGTTATCAGCTCACAAGATGTAACAAAATACTTTTCAATACGTTTAACCACCTCCCACCCGCCATATAGTAATATGACGGGCGCAAGGTGGTTCTCTCGTTCTGGGAGGACGTCATATGACGTCCTCCCATTCTCACTGCGCATGTGCGGCTCAGGCAGCGCGGTGATCGGCGGTGCGCTGTGTCCCTCGGACACAGCGGATCACCGATCACAGAAAGAGCTGAAGATGTCGGCTCTGTCATGTGATCAGCTGTGTCCAATCACAGCTGATCACATGTAAACACGGAAATGCCAGTTATCGGCATTTCTCTTCTCTCGAGCTGTCACGCTGACAGAGGAGAGGAGAGTCGGTAATCGGCTTTCCGCGGAGGGGACATGTACACTGATGATCAGTGTGCCCTGATGATCAGTGTAGCCCCAGCAGTTCCACCTGTCAGTGTCCATCAGTGCCTTATGTCAGTGCTCATCAGTGCCTCGTGCAAGTGCCACATATCAGTGCACACCAGTGCCACATATCAGTGCCCATCTGAGCTGCCTTTCAGTGTCACCTATCAATGCCAATCAGTGCCACCTATCAGTGCCACCTCAGTGCCAGTCAGTGCTGCCTATCAGTGCGCATCAGTGGCGCCTATCAGTGCCAGTCAGTGCTGCCTATCAGTGCCATTTATCTGTGCCATGTATCAGTGCTGCCTTTCAGTGCCAATCAGTAATGCCTGTCAATGCCCATCAGTGCCACATGCCAGTGCCTCCTCATCAGTGCCCATCAGTGCCACCTTTCAGTGTCCACAAGTGCCCATCAGTGCACCCTCATTAGCGCACATCAGTGAAGGAGAAAAATCACTTATTTACAAAATTTTAACAAAAACTAAGAAAAAACATTTTTTATTCAAAATTTTCAGTGCTTTTTGGTTTGTTTAAGAAAAAATAAAAAACCCAGAGGTGATTAAATACCACCAAAAGAAAACTCTATCTGTCACACAAAAATTATAAAAATTTCATATGGGTACAGTGTTGTTTGACCGCACAATTGTCATTCAAAGTGCGACAGCGCTGAAAGCTGTAAATTGGCCTGGGCAGGAAGGGTTATAAGTGCCCTGTAGGCTAGTGGTTAAAGTGGTTGTAAACCTAGGACATGAAATATGAACAAAGCATATCCTTCTATAATGTGCACTTGTCTCAGTTAAGAGCATTAGGTGTTATTTCTGTGGTCTGCTTCATTCCTCTGCTATCGGCATGAATCACTTCTGACAAGTTTTCCTGACACCAAGAGCTAAAATGGTGACAGGGGAGGGACTTCCAGCAGACTGACATCCTCAGCTCTGTCCTGAGAGCTCTGTGGCGAGGGGTATGTCTCTTCCCTCCAATCAGCTCTCAGAACTCCTGTCACTGAGCTCTGCAGAGTTTAACTTCAGCTTTCGGCCCCCTTTTTTCTGAAATTTCAGACAAGCATTATAAATGTATTACTCGGAACAGATGTAGTGAGGAGAATACTACAGATAAACAGGTACAACTTATGTAGGAGGATTTGTTTCATCTCTGTGTTCCACCTGAGGCCAGTCACTTCGCTGGGTATATGTAAGGATTTACAACCACTTTAACAGATCAAAAGGGGGCAAATAAAAGAAGTTCTTTGTTCGGGTCCTGTTTACATACACTTTAATTGTGTAACATACGATACAAGCACCTCAACACACACGACTGAGCAGAACACTATAGGAAATTGCCGTGTTTGTGCAAACCACTGCCTTTAATTTGCCTTCAGAGCACTTTTCAACTAGCACAGTTCCATTCATACAAATACTTCTGTGTTTGTAAACCTGTGTTACTTTAATAGCTCCAGATCAGTAGACCACTGTCTGGATTTCCCTCTCATCTAGAAAACTCTTTATCTTCGCAGAATCCTGCCATTCCAATGCAGAAACTACAGGACATCCAAAGAGCTATGGAGCTCCTGACCGCCTGCCAGGGACCCGCAAAGAACCTCGATGAGGCAAGCAAACGTAAATACCAGTTTTGGGATACACAGCCTGTACCGAAACTTAGTAAGTAGGCACCGGGAAATGTCATCTCTTCTGTGTTGTGTCTGCCCATACATATTCATGGTTTTGGTTGGATTCACTGTCATCCAGAAAAAACATTGAAGAAGGAAAAAAACATTTCGAGAGATTAGGGGAGCAAAAGGCAATATCAAGTGGGAAGAGTTGTGTGTGTCTCCAACACCCACTTCTCGCACTCTGTACCCTGTGCAGGTATTCATAACAAGCCGTACTATAATGCAGTGTTCACATTGCTCAGTGCCTGTCAGTCCGTTTATCTCTCTCCCTCTGTGAAATTGGAATGATAGTTTTCAAACTTTATTTATATTTCAAAATGCTATGTACATTGTTCGTGTTGTTTTTATAAAACAGTACATGTGACCTTTTCCAAACATTCACTGCAGGTGAAACTTCTTGGTCTGTGTTGCAGGTGTTTATGCAGTGAATATTTGATGAAAGTCACAGTAACTGCTTTAAAACATTCTATATTTTTTATATATATATATAATGTTGTACATATATGGTGCTGTGAAAAAGTATTTGCCCCCTTCCGTTTTTTTTGTTTGTTTTTTTGTTTTGTTTTTTTTTGGGGGGGGGGGGGTTTTTGCATATTTGCCACAAATGATTCAGATCACCAAAACGAACTTTAATATTAGGCGAAGATAACTTGATCAAATACAAAATGCAGTTTTTAAATGATGTTAATTTGTTAAGGGAGAAAAGCTGTCCACAACCTGCCTGGCCCTATGTGAAAAAGTAATTAATTACCAGTTATTGCAAATTCTTGATTGCAGTTGTTGCTGCCAAGGGTGGAACACGCAGTTGTTAGGTTTAGGGGGCAATTACTTTTTCACATAGGGCCGGTCATGTTTGGTTGTATTTACTCAGGTCATCTTTGTGTAGTATTAAAATTTGATGATCTGAATCTTTTAAGATTTTATTTAAAAAAAAAAAAAAAAAGAAGGGGCAAATACTTATTTTTCCCCCAGCACTGGTGTGTGTGTATATGTATGTGTGTGTGTGTTTATGTGTACATATATATATATATATATATTATATATCTGTGTATATATATATATATATATATATATCTGTATGTATATATATATCTGTATGTATATATATATGTGTGTATATATATATGTGTGTGTATATATATATGTGTGTGTGTATATATATATATATATATATATATATATATATAGCAAATGCTTACTGTATGGATGTGAAAATACATAAAAGTATAAATGTACAGGGAGTCATATAGCAAATCTGTTGCACACACAAACCAGCACATGTGGTTTTCAGACCACTGTCATAGCTGTCCTGACAGGGACCTGTTGGATTAAAGAAAAGGGCTCCATTCAACCCTCCATGTCTTGCATCTGAATTAGTGCCCCGCAGCACTGCCTGTCTTCAAATCCACAAAGAGAAAGTTTGGGGAGGTTGTGTTTGTGTTAGCAGCAGTTACTATATTTCAGAATGAATGACAGGCTTCCCTATCCACTTGAACGGGGAATGCAGCAAGGGTGCTAATTTTTTCCTGTAGCATGATGCAAAGCTTTGCGACAGCGACATGTGAATACCCCAGTCTTCTGCATTTGCAACTGGGGGTGTGTAGCCTTAGGACCTCACATTTTTAGGGCCCCCCTCTCCAACTGCATGCCTAAATGAGCCCTGACAACCACTGCTCTTCTTGGAAGGCTTGCCTCAAAATGTTGGAGTGTCTGTGGAAATTTTGTGCCTATTTAGGCATAAACAATAATTGTGAGTTCAGGTACCTGGCAATTGATCCCTAAGGTGGGTTGAGGTGAGGGCTCTGTGTAGGTCACTTGGGTTCCTCCAAGCCAAACTCCCCAAACCATGTCTTTATGGAGCTGGCTTTGTGCTCATTAATTTGGATGAGTGTCTATATATTTTTGGCCATATCGTTTAACTGGTTTCTTGGATACAGATAACAAGCCTATATCTTTTTTTGTTTTTGTTTTCATTTTATTATTGGGTATTTATTGGGTAGTAGTGTCATTCTCTGGAGCATCTTTTTCTTTGCCATGTGATGTGTGGCATGAAGAGATGCTTTTCTTCACAGCCTCTGTGCCAAAATTAGATCCTCTCCGGGTTCTTTGAAAATGAAGGAAAATCGTTTCTGTTTTTGTCTGTTTTTTTTCCTTTGTCCTCCGAGACAACATGAGAGCAAATTGCATGCTAATTGGGTATGTGGTAACCTTACATAAGGGCAAGGTCACTAAGAAGGTTAGGCAGAGCACATGAAAGGAGGGATCCCCTCCTATGGGCTGCACTGTACAACATCTTGCTGTACCCATTTATTATATTACTGTTCTTCAGATAGTTATTTTTTTTAAATGTCAGCGTGTTATTAGACTAATATAAGCCTGGAGGGTGAGGCAATCAGGAGATTCACACCAAAGCTAAAATGCCAGTGTTTGAGTGCAACTGAATTTTTGGTTTTATTTTTTTTTATTTGTGAATTATTCTTTGTTGATTTGAAGATGCACATTGATGCTACAAAAGTTAAAAGGAACTATCATTTAGTTCTGAAATACGCCACTGTGTAATGGGCAGTGCTAGCTTTGGATAAGAGCATTGCTATGAAAAATTATTATCCACTAGGGAGGTTGGGGACGTGGTTCCTATGATAATGGATCTGAAGGATCGCTGTTCAATTATATACCAGATGTTGTTTGTTATATCTGCACATTCACACCTGAGATACTTTATGCACTAAAAATGTCACTTTATTTCTTTACTTCCGTTTTAGATGAAATTATAACCTGTCATGGTCCTATTGAACCTGATAAGGACAACATTCGTCAAGAGCCATACTCGCTGCCTCAGGGCTTTATGTGGGACACTCTGGATCTGAGTAATGCAGAGGTGGTAAGTCATCCAACATCTTGCTTTTAGAAATTCTTTCTGGGTCTTGGCATTACCACCTGGCAAGTACCCATAGCTTCTCTTTCATTCTTATCACTTATGAACTGTGTGAAGACATTTCCTGATCCTCCAGCCTAGCCCTATGAGTTGCAGAAAAGAAAATCGCACGATTGAATGTGTTGATAGGGGAATCCTTCTTGCGGAGCTATTATGTTCTCCTGGCAGTGGGTGGGGTTGTACTGGAGCTGCCCCTGCTGGGAGAACACGTATGCTAAAGATCCGACAGGCCAGTTATACCCAAGTCGATTGATGAATCGACTTGGGTACAATCCGCCTGCACATAGATGGATTTAATCTTGGCCGGTCCCTGTTGAACTGGCTAAGATTCGATCCATCTTTGGCTGGCTTTTGTTAGTTCTCCAAGCGTCACTTGCTAAATTGCTAAATCTCTTTTGCTCTGAGATATCCATTACATAAAGACCAATAATTTACATGACCGCTCTGAATTTCTGACAAGATCAAGTTGTTTTTTTAGGTTATCCAACAGATATAACAAATCGCTTTCAAAGGCATATTAAACAAACCAAAAGGGATTGGGTAAAAGATGTTCATTGGTAGGCCTCATGCAAACAGACATTTTGCAAACTCTCCTTAAGCCTAGGTTCACACTACAGCGGTTGCGGAAATCCCATGTGATTCGCACAGATACCGCATCGCATTCCTGTACAAATCACATGCGATTTGTATGCGGTGCGATTAGAGCCATACATTTTGTATGGCTCTATTCGCACCGCACCCGCACCGAAAAGGTAAAGGACCCTTTTTTGGTCCGCACTAGAATCAGATCGCATGGGTATTCACACCTATGCGATCCGATTCTGCACATTGCACCGTGTTTTGCAGACTAATGTGGGGGGTGTCGTTAACTTAACATACACACCAGCATCGGTCCGTTGGAACAGGATGCGATTCTGATGCGGTGCAGAATTCGCACTGAAAACGCTGTGAATTCCGCGCCGCATCAGTGTGAATAAAGGCTGAAGCCTTTCCTCCTGGCAGCAGCGTTTTGGCAGAAAAAACACCTGACGTTTGTAAAAGTGTGTAACGTTTTCAGACTCTTTTACAGGCATCAAGCACTTGGGTGTTAATTTAATTTGCCAGAATGATAATTTATTCTGGTACTTGAAATGAATTAACGCTCAATCACTAAACGCGCCTAGCATTAACATGCGTTCAGGTGCATTTACATGCCTTTACTTCTGCCGAAACTCTGCTGCTTCTGGACGCACTGGCAGTGACTTTAAACGCTCCTGCCATTAAACGCTGCTAAAAGTCTGTGTGCATGGACACATTGCTAACATGCAGGGGAGTTTAGAGGCAGGAAACAAACGCCAAATGCACCTAGAAGCAGCTGCAAAAACGCCCAGTGTGCTTGAAGCATTACACTGCAATTAGCATAGTTTTGGTAAATAAACGATGTGACTCACCAAACCTCCCTGCGATGCGATTTTTCTGCATCAGTGTCCTTTTTTTTTTGTGGGCAAAATCTCATAATTGAGGCTTAGTTTAGCAGTAGGGAAAGCCTTCGCCCTCTACGTTTCTCGTCTTCCTGCTGTCAAGTGCATACCTTTTGCTGTGCTGTATGGCATCTTTGATGTGAAGATTTCTGTGGACTTTTTTTTTTTTTTTCAACCAGAGGATTTGACAAGCTGTTTTTATATGAATTTACAGTAAATGGTACAGAGCTGCATTCATTTGTGTTTTTATATCTGTCTGAAGTTCAGCATTAAACATCTCACCTTGTATTCTTTTCTCTTCTCTTCTGGTGTTTCCGCTCATTAGCTAAAAGAACTGTACACTTTACTGAATGAAAATTATGTGGAAGATGATGATAACATGTTCAGATTTGATTATTCACCAGAGTTCTTACAATGGTGAGTATGAAAACTGTCATCCCTTAGGATTTATTCTATTTCATGTATAGGAGCAAGACAAGAAAGACTCCTCCTTACTCTGTTGGGAAAAAAAGCTGTTTAGTTGTTCCACTTTTAAGTGAACATGTTCTCAAACTGTGCACACTAAAATACTTTCATATTCTGTAGAAGCAGCAAAAACACTTTAAAACTGAACGTTTTTATAAAAAAAATACCCTGCTGTGCCCCTCCCTGCACTGCAAGAGTTACCTGCTTGTCACGTCTCGGGACAGAAGAATAAGCTGTAATACTTGCCTTATTCCTCACTCCAGCAGGCTTCCAACACTCTCCTCTTCTCTCTTACACTCCAGGTTGTGGGGTGCCCTCACTGTTTTCACATACAGTGCAGGACTGTTGGTTCTGTATTGAACGTGGTGATGGCAGAGCAGCAATAGAGACATTTTGGGACTGGTCCCACAGCATAGTGAAAGCCTGCCAAAGTGATCAATAAGTTAATTATTAAAGCTTATTTCTCTACTCCAGACATAACGAGCAGATACACTTGCTGTTTGTGTTGGTTGAGGGTGGTAGTTACACAGAGGTATAGTTCAGGGCTTGAAAAAGCCGCTTGCGGTGAGGACAGATGAAGCATGTATCGACTGCACCTGCGCTCCAAGCCTCATTGTAATGCTGAGTTCCGGTTTACAACTTCCGGTTTCCAGCTTCTGGGGCACCGCCGCCGAGGGGACAGGTGCAGGAGAGGTCCGCTCTCCTCCGCTGAGAGGAGACACCCTCTCCACCGCTGCGGGGGACTCGGGGGGACAGTAAGTACTGTATACAACATGTCCTATCACTATAATGGAGTATTGGGGAGCTGGGCTATACATTACTGAGTAATGTATAGCCCAGCTCCCCTGTACTCCATTATAGTGATGACATGTATACTGTAATGATTACTGTATATACGTCATATCACTATAATGGAGTACAGGGGAGGGGGGGATATACATTACTGTATACACGTCATATCACTATAATGGAGTACAGGGGAGGGGGATATACATTACTGTATACATGTCATATCACTATAATGGGGTACAGGGGAGGGGGATATACATTACTGTATACATGTCATATCACTATAATGGAGTACAGGGGAGGGGGATATACATTACTGTATACATGTCATATCACTATAATGGAGTACAGGGGAGCTGGGATATACATTACTGTATACATGTCATATCACTATAATGGAGTACAGGGGAGCTGGATATACATTACTGTATACATGTCATATCACTATAATGGAGTACAGGGGAGGGGGATATACATTACTGTATACATGTCATATCACTATAATGGAGTACAGGGGAGGGGGATATACATACTGTATACATGTCATATCACTATAATGGAGGACAGGGGAGGGGGATATACATTACTGTATACATATCATATCACTATAATGGAGTACAGGGGAGGGGGATATACATTACTGTGTACAGTTTTATATTTTGGACTTATTCTAAAGAAAAATTTAATTTCATAAGCTTTAAGGGGGTGTGGTTGGGGGCAGGCCAGGGGTGGGGTGGGGGCTGGACCTGGGCAAGGTTGGGTGGGGCAACTGGTGGAGAGTAAGTTTTGTGACCCGCTAGTAGGTCTGGACTCGAAATTTTAACCCCTGGTATAGTTTATACAAAGATTCCAGAGTTCCACTTCAAAACAAGCCCTCCTACACCTCTGTAGGTATAAGCATTGTGGAGAAATTCATCTTCATTGTTGTGTCAGGATACTTAATTGTTTACACAAATACTGCAGGCCAATTATTCTGATCCAGCACTTATCTTCCCTACATAGATTAAAGCCAGCCATACATAGATCAAAATTTGGCTGGTTTAGCAGCCAAAGAGACTTGATTCATATATGGGCAGACTGATTGTACTCAAGTCGATCCATCAATCAGCTTGGCTACAAGCAGCCAGTCAGATTTGTTTACATTTGATTACTGCCGGCCATGTAGCCGCTAGCAGTAATCATTGTGTTCTGCCGGCCATGAAGGCTCCCCGCTCTCCTCTGCCAGCAGAACACAATAGCGCTGCAGGAGGAATTGAGCGATTTTCTTTCCTTCCACCTGTAGTGAAAGGAAAAAAGATCAAGTTATCAATGGGCTGCTTAACACAGGAAAGTTCTATTTTTAATCCATTCAAGGTACTTATTTTAACTGAAGCCCAGATGAAGGGGGAGTTTTTTCTGACTCCCAAAATGTGTTGGCTTTTTTTTTTTCTTAGTATAAACTGATAATTCGTAATCTTTTAGCTTTTGGTCAGGTGCCCTTTTCATTAGTCCATGTTCATTTCTGGTAGCTCTCTAATGTAAACACATATCTCTGAACCCTGACTTTAGGGCCTTTGTTGAAATATTTGAGTACGAGCAGCTAGAGAAGTGATTGGTGACTTATTTGAAGCTTTCTTATGCAGGCCATAGATGGGTTGAAAATCGGCCGATTTTTCGGCCGAAAATAGAATCGGCCGATTTTCGGATCGTTAGTGGGCTAAATAAATGTTCGGCCGTTTTTCGGTATTTTGGCAGATTTTTTTTTATCGGTAAAGTTGGAAAAAAATCGTCCGATTTTGCCGATCGCCCGATTTTCGCGGCAATGATGGGCAAATCGGCCGATCTTTTACCGATAAAAAAATCTGCGCATGAGCAGTGACCTGTAAGAGGAAGACAAAAAGAAGAAGAGGATGAAGAAGAAGAGGAAGAAGGAGAAGGGGAAGAGAAGAAGAAGAGGATGAAGAAGCTGCAGAAGAGAAGAATAGATGAAGAAGTAGAGGAAGAAGAAGAAAGAAGAAGAAGAGGATGCAGAAGAGGAAGAATAGGATGAAGAAGAGGATGAAGAAGAGGAAGCAGAAGAAGAGGATGAAGAAGAAAAGGAGGAAGAAGAAGAGGATGAAAAAGAAGAAGAAGAGGATGAAAAAGAGGATGAAGAAGAGAAGAAGAAGAGGAAGAAGAAGAGGAGGAATTCCAGTCCGGCAAAAAGTGTCCCTGCAGAGAGCTGCGCTATTTCTTTGACCGTTCCTTGATATTTATAGCGGTTGCAACAATGTATCTATTTGTTTCCGAATAAAAACATCTGTATCCTAAATGGATACAAATAGATACATTGTTGCAACCGCTATAAATGTCAAGGAACTGTCAAAGAAATAGCGGAGCTCTCTGCAGGGACACTTTTTGCCGGCTGTAGACGGGATGAAAATCGGCCGATTTTTTTTTTTTTTTTTTTTTTTTACCGTTGCTGGTAACGTCGGCCGCTTGAACGACCAATTTTTCGTTTTTTTTTAAAGAAAAATCAGCCGATTTTCGACCCATCTATGGCCTGCATTACTCCTTGGTTAGAATATGTGAATAATTAATGTCTATAGCCTGGGCAGAGGTGCACTTGAAAGGATGGCTTGGAGCAATAATGTGAAGGCCCACAAGTACTCGCACATCTTGTTTCAGCTGAAAAACTAAATACTGATTGCTGAAAATTTTGAAAGCAGCCTGCTTTCCAGTCCTGAAATTTACACCATCAAAAACACGGCAGCAGTGTCATCTTCTATATTTCTACCCTCTTCGGCTCACCTAAGTTAATTGGGTCAAGTTACTTGACTACAGAAGAAGAATATTTCTCTTCTCCACATTTCCTTTCTGTAGCACATAAAATGACCAAATACATCATCCACATATAGGTGAAATGGTGACACCCTCTTAATGTCCCTTTTGAGTCTCTACCAACAAATGTATGACCAGGTTTTGGCCAGTAATGCATAATGTTAATATGTTTGAGTACTTGTTATAAAGAATGCTTTTCAGCCAATATTTCAGACTTGTTCTGTATAACAGAGACAGCAACTTGATGGGAATTTCTCTATTTTAAAAAAAGATTAAAAGGTCATAGATCAAAAGGGATTCTCTGATAACCAGCTGACAAAGGAGTATATCAGTTGTGACATCTATATGCATTTCAGAGCTTAAAATGGAAGAAAAGCCCAGGTCTAAATATTCTTAAATCAAAAGTTTCACTCATTTACGAACTCCTCTGCTCCTCTGCCATTACTGTAAATAACTTTCTTTCGGGGTATGGGTACCTAGTTTTAACAGGTACCCGCTTCCACTTGGCGATCCAAGTGGAAGTTCAGCCCCCTGCCTGCAACTGCCAGGAACACATCACAGGTCCCAGGAGGCTGCAGGACCATTTGGAATGCACAGCACGTCTCACACAGGTGCAGTGGGGAGCTATCTGTGAGTCAACAAGAAATGTCTGTTAGCTTCCCACACTCAAGATGGCAGACCTGGGTGATGACAGCATTGGATCCCTGGGCTGGTGAGTCCCTGTTTTTTAAAAGTCAGCAGCTACAGAATTTGTAACTGCTAACTTTCAAATTTTTCTACAATCAGCTGGAGTTCTTCTTTAAAAATGTTCCCACCTTCTTCTCTCACCTTTCCTGCCTAACCCTAATAAAAAAAAGATTTGTATACTTACCTTTTTTTAATCCAGTGGTCACATGATCCTGCAGCTCCGCCTCCCCTGTGTCAGTGAGCTGTTTCTTCAGGTGAGAGGAGGGAGCACTGACAATGGCTGTGCTATGGGTGATGACATGGCTCTGGGAATTCCCAGGCATTGTTGAACAGTTTCAGAGCCGGAGCTACAAGATCACATGGCTGGAGCAGATTAAAAATGGGTAAATACAAACTTCCTTTTTTTTTTTTTTTGTACAGGCTAGGCAGGATAGATTCAGAATACTTTATTAATCCCAAAGGAAAATAGGTGTGGGGATGGCCTTTTTTAAGAAAAGTTGGACTTGGTCTTTTCTTCTACTTTAACTTTACGTTCTATTTGCAATCTACTTTTAATTTTGATCACATACAATGATTGTCATTTTTATTCTAAAAATTGTCTGCCTTTTAAAGGGCACTTCGTCCTCCTGGGTGGTTATCTCAGTGGCACTGTGGAGTCAGAGTGTCTTCCAACAAAAAATTAGTGGGCTTTATAAGCGCCGTTCCTGCCACTATCCGTATTTATGACAGGTAAGTGAAACTGTTTTAAAGTGATCAATTCAAAGTGACCAAATTCATCCTCTTTCTGTCCCAGTTTGCTTGGGGTTTGAAGGTAAACTGCACCTATAAACCTTTTTTCCTTTGTCCCCACTAGAAATATATTAAATATAGTAACAGTCTGGTCTGGTTACCATGTCTTCCCCTCTTTCCATATGATATGTCACAGGTCTTAGAGTCTTAAAATCCGGCGTAAAGGATATAAAACCAAATTAGACCTATAGTAATGTACATTTGCATGACCATGTTGTAAATGTGTGTCTTAAAATTTTTGTTTGTGTTGAGATCTACTGAAGTCCCAAATATGCAAAATAGTTGCACTGGTAAATAAAAAAAAAAACTACAATAATTATCAGTGCTTAAATCTTTTAGTAGCCCCAGGATGTTCTGTGCAATATGCATCCCAGAATCTGTGACAAGGTCTTTTCCTACTTGACTTCCTACTATATGAAGTACACCATCTAGTGTTTGAAGAGGACAAATACAGTTCCTTAACATAGACGGAAACTCTAAGTATGATATATTTTTGTAAGGTTCAGTCCTGATACAGAGGACAAGGAGCGATTACACATAAATGCTTAAATCATCTATTTATTTAGTGGCTGTTCAAGGCAGCAAAGTCTGCATATGTTCACAGCCTTGCTGGAATGGATAATTACAAAGGGTTTTGAGGGCTAAAATACTTATACTATATGGCTAAACGTTGTGGACATCTTACCAACACTCATATGAGCTTGTTGAACCGCCCATATCAAAATGTTGGCATTATTATGTAGTTGGATCTCCCTTTCAGGCTATAACATCCTCCCCTCACATGGGAGGGCTTTCCACAAGATCAGGGATCTCCAAGCTTTCTTAACCAAGGGCCAGTTTACTGTCCTTCAAACTTTAGGGGGGCAGACTGTGGCCAGTGGAAGTAGAAAATATCTTGATGTCAGTGGAAGCCAATAATGCTCCATCTTTGGTATTAGTTTAAGGAATGGTGCCCATCACTAGTGTCAGTAGGTGGAATAGTACCTCATGGCAAAGGGCAAACAGGTGGCACTAAACACCTAGTGCACTATCCAAGGTCTATTAGAAAGTAAAAAAGACGAAAACATACTCACAGACATAGCATGTCTGTAAAGCTAAGTATGGAAATTGAGATGACTAGCTCTGAGGAAAGGGACTCGTCCCCAAAACGCGTCAGCAAGCAGACCATACTGACAGCTGGAATATCCTACCCACTACTGTGGTCATCTCGATTTCCATACTTAGGTTTACAGACATGCTATGTCTGTATATGTTTTCGTCTTTTTTAATTTCTAATAGACCTTGGATAGTACACTAGGTGTTTGCGCCACCTGTTTGCTCTTTTTCCAGTTGTTGATTACCCTATCTGAGGAGGGCGACATCCCCGAAACGCTATCCATAAGCAACCTTTTTTGCCTTGGTTCTCCTGGCTTCACTTTGGCAGTTGATTCCTGGAGCCCTGGAGAGTGCACACTGTCATCTGGAATAATACCCCATCACTGGTGTCAGTAGAGGAATAGTGCCCCATCACTGGTGTCAGTAGGAGGTCTAGTACCCCATCACTGGTGTCAGTAGGAGGTCTAGTGCCCCATCACTGTGTCAGTAGGAGGTCTAGTGCCCCATCACTGGTGTCAGTAGGAGGTCTAGTGCCCCATCACTGGTGTCAGTAGGAGGAATAGTGCCCCATCACTGGTGTCAGTAGGAGGAATAGTGCCCCATCACTGGTGTCAGTAGGAGGTCTAGTGCCCCATCATTGGTGTCAGTAGGAGGAATAGTGCCCCATCACTGGTGTCAGTAGGAGGTTTAGTGCCCCATCACTGGTGTCAGTAGGAGGTCTAGTGCCCCATCACTGGTGTCAGTAGGAGGTCTAGTGCCCCATCACTGGTGTCAGTAGGAGGTCTAGTGCCCCATCACTGGTGTCAGTAGGAGGTCTAGTGCCCCATCACTGGTGTCAGTAGGAGGTCTAGTGCCCCATCACTGGTGTCAGTAGGAGGTCTAGTGCCCCATCACTGGTGTCAGTAGGAGGAATAGTGCCCCATCACTGGTGTCAGTAGGAGGTCTAGTGCCCCATCACTGGTGTCAGTAGGAGGTCTAGTGCCCCATCACTGGTGTCAGTAGGTGGAATAGTACCCCATTACTGATGTCAGTAGAGAGGAATAGTGCTCCATCATTGTTGTCAGTAGGTGGAATAGTACCCCATTACTGATGTCAGTGGGAGGAATAGTGCACCATTGTTGGTGTCAGTCACATAAACTATGCCCCACTGCTGCAGACAGTAAGAGGAATAATGCCCAAAGGGCTGGATAAAAGCAAGTTTTGAGACCACTGTACAAGATTATGGGGTGTCTGTGGGAAATTGTATTTATTCAGCCAAAGGAGTGTTTGTGTGATCAAGCACTGACGGATGAGAAGACTGGGCTCACAATCAACATTCTGAGTCATCCTAGAGTGTTCGGTGGGGATGAGATAAAAACTATGTGCAGGCCCCTCAAGTTCCTCCACACCAAACAAATCTTTATGGAGCTGGCTTTGTGCTCAGGAGCACAGTCATACTGGAACAGATAAGGGCCATCCCCAAACTGTTGACACAGGGTTGAAATCACTTAATTGTCTAAAATGTTTTTGTAATCTAATGTTTGTCATTGGGGGTGGCATGGATATGTGCTTGGTTTTCCTCACCTAGATTTGAAATGGGAAATCCACCAAGCTCATATAGGTGCAATGATCATGTGGCCATAAACCTTTGGCCATATCTGCTCCAGTTTCCCTTTGCAGTTTAACAACCCCAAAACCTAGACGCTTAGTTTCCTTGCTGAAGGAGGGATCGGCATTTGGATTGACCGATTCTCCCCTTTGGCCAGAGATTATGCAAGCCAAATGCCTAGACTTTGTGTTATGCGAGCAGCACTGGAGGGAATGTGCAGTAGTGTTTTCTTAGTAAGAAGTAAGTACTTCAGTGTTGTGTTACTCTTTATTGCATCCAAGCAAGACTAGTGACATAACTCTGTGTTAAAGGTAAGTATGGATCACTTTGCAGATAAGCAATGGCCTGTTTGAATGAATAATGTTTACACTGAGCTCTTCTTGATATATCATCTTGTTCTGTTGGCTTGTCTCAGTGAAAAGAAGATGGTAGAGGTTAATTTCCTTTGTGTCCATAAGAAGCTGCGATCGAAGCGTGTTGCTCCTGTCCTCATCCGAGAGATCACCAGGAGAGTCAATCTAGAAGGAATCTTCCAAGCTGTGTATACAGCAGGGGTCGTTTTACCAAAACCCGTATCTACATGCAGGTATGAGACTGGTATAGGATTTATTCTATATACTGTAACTGATTTAAGCCTTTAAAAGGAAGCAGGATACACTTAGTTAATTTCCAGCATTTTTTGTTAACATTTAATAGCCCTGTTGCAATAAAAGTAAAAAATGCAGCTCCTGCTGCAATACCCATCTTCTCTCCAGTGCTGTCCCCCGCAGACACATTGCTCCAAAGTGCAGCATCTTTCTCATTCTGGATAGAATACATTGCTCCAAAGTACAGCATCTTTCTCATTCTGGATAGAACACATTACTCCAAGGTACAGCGTCTTTCTCATTCTGGATTGAACACATTGCTCCAAAGTGCAGCGTCTTTCTCATTCTGGATAGAACACATTGCTCCAAAGTGCAGCATCTTTCTCATTCTGGATTGAACACATTGCTCCAAAGTACAGCATCTTTTTCATTCTGAATAGAACACATTGCTCCAAGTACAGCATCTTTCTCATTCTGGATTGAACACATTGCTCCAAGGTACAGTATCTTTCTCATTCTGGATAGAACAGCGCTGACATCACGTCACATTGCCACTCATTCTGTATTATTGAAGACCTCTCAGTGCCAGAGGAGAGAATTTGACTTGGGCGAAAGCTGGAATTGTGCTTTTGGATGTTCTAAGTTCTTTTCTGCTCCAGACTCTGGGCTAAGTTTTGCCCACTAGACTTAGGCACACCTGTCATCCCCACCAACCACTGAGAATGTTTATTAAATAGCAGAATGTGTGGTCATGGCATGGTCCTGAAGTTGGAGAGCCCTGATGCCCTAAAGGGAAGGTTATAATTTAATTTTTCAATATCTAAAGTTGAACCCTGGGGAAGGATTAAATACTAGTTTTTGCCTAGGGTTTTCCAGCTACTAAGCATAACAGCAAGGCTGCTTGTGGTGCCTCCACATAGACAAGACCTAGACATGTCAGTCACTATAATTGTGGAATTCTAGTTAACTTGTTGCTGTCCATGTAACATATATGGGCAACGGCAAAAGGTTTGGGTTTTAATGTTGTTCACACACTGCACATATGTGTCACTGGGCGGCTGATATTTCGGTGCTGAGAATGCACTCCCACCACAGAGACAGAGACGGCTCTCAGGCCCCACTAACAAATGGTAGCCAGCAGAACCAGCTCCCAATCTTATTATTGTTATTACAGGTACTTATGTAGTGCTGTCAATTTACACAGTGTTTTACATATATTGTACATTCACATCAGTCCCTAACACTCAAGGAGCTTACAATCTAAGGTCCCTTACTCACATTCATAATTACACTTTCAAGGGCCATCTTATACTTTGTGACCACTGTGACAGCCAATCACAATGCTGTTCCTTGTTCCCTGGGGCATTCAGAACTGGGACAGGCAGGACAGAAGATAATATAAAATCAATCAGATATGTGAGTAAATAGCAGCTTATTAGATGTCAGACTGGCTGTATGTCAGCGGGGTGTTTAACCACTTGCCTACAGGGCACTTATACTCCTTCCTGCCCAGGCCAATTTTCTGCTTTCAGCGCTGTCACACTTTTGAATGTCAATTGCGCGGTCATGCAACACTGTACCCATATAACATTTTTACCATTTTTTTTCACACGAATAGAGCTTTCTTTTGGTGATATTTAATAGCCACTGGGGGTTTTATTTTTTGCACTATGAATGAAAAAAGAGCAAAAAATTAAAAAAAAAAAAGTTTTCTTCACTGATCAGCGGCACTGAGGTGGCACGGATAGGCAGCACTGATAAGCTGGCACTGATGCTGCTGCACTGATGGGTGGCACTGATGGGTGGCACTGGTGGGTGGCACTGCGGGACAAAGGTGGTGGGTGGCACTGCTGGGCAAAGGTGGTGGCACTAATCATCAGGGCACTGGTCATCAGTGCACCTGACGATCAGTGCTGATCTGTTTTCTGACAATTGCCAGTTATTGGCAGTACTTTTTCCTCATGCTGTGATATATGACGCCCTCCCAGAACTGGACAACCGCGCCGTAGCCATCATTCGGCTATAGCGTGGTTGCCAAGTGGTTAAAAGCCAGCCATAGACGGTTCAAATCTTGGCTGGTTCACCAGGAACTAGCCCAGATTTGAACCATGTATGAGCAAGCTGAATTTACCCAAGTTGATCTATCGATCCAATTGGGTACAACCAGCCTGCCAGATTTTATATGTGATTATCGATAGCGGCTAATATAGCCTGGTGGGGATGGCTCCCCCCCGCTGGGAGAGCACAGTGGCTCGGTGGAAGGGATTCCTCTGTCAACATTGGTTGCAGGAAAGAAATTTGTGCCACCTATGGCCTGCCTAATCAATAAATAATTATCAGCGCTCTAATATTACCTTGCCAATGCTATATATTGTATAATACCATAGTGATACCATTAATTCATATATGCTGTGATGCTATCATCTTATCAGCTGTTTACCTGGATTACCTAAATTAATCTTATTATATTATCCTAGTGCTTAATAAAGCTTAAAAATGAAAATAAAATAATATGTAATTAAATCCAATTATGAGATTTGTACAATGTGATTATTTCATTGAAAATAAATAAATTAATAAAATTCACTATGCCAGTGTAAAAATAAACTAAATATAAATAATTAAAAATAATGAAAAAAATTGTGTAAATTCATATAATCCAATGTGCAAATGATGCAAAGCAAACAATAAATTGTATATATATTAGTGAGATATAAATGAATAAAAATAATAAAGATAATTAAAAAATATATCAATTCATAAAGTTCAGCAGCAAAAATGTGCAAAAAAAGAAAAATGTGCAAAAAAGTTTTTAGGATTCAGCAGAAGAAGATATTGGTGATATACTCTCCTTTTCAAGTTGCTTATATTGATGTAAATGGAAACCTACGGACTATCTTCTGAGTCTATGTAGATGTGAGGTTTTCTCCTTCCTAGAGCCTCTCCTCACTTCAATTAATGGTATCGCTATGGTATTATACAATATATAGCATTGGCAAGGTAATATTAGAGCGTGGATAATTATTTATTGATTTTATAGAATTCACATCTTATGAGAGTGAGAAAAATTCCAGCGATTTCTAACTCCAGTGGCTCACAAGTTCATCCTAATAATATATGGCCTGCCTAAGTCACTGGACAGATGTGTGAGATATTCTGGGATTGGCTACTAATAAAATACAGTCGTCGTCCCCCCCCCCACCTCCTCTCCCCCCACTTATGGTTTTGTTTTATAGATTGGCTTGACAAATAAACAGCAGGTCCTTGGCTTGGTATAGAAATACTGTGTACCGAAGAGGAGAAATCAGGTTTGCCTGTGACTAGGATTCTAAAAGCACTTTTCAAACAAGTGGGAAACTTGGTATGCGTGAGCCTCACTAGGATACACAGAATGTTCTTCATCACCGGCCTTATTCAGAGTGAGCTGGAATCAGAGCACATACTGTGTCTCCTTTCTTCCCCCCAGAGCTTAAAGGAGACATGCCATCCTTCTGTAGGCATAATGGTGTAAGCAAAGGAAAATAACTTTGTAAACAAAGAAACAAATATTTTGTGCAGCAAGAACAGCATTCTGATCATGTTTTTATAACACTGCAGTGGCAGTATTAAAAGCCAGTTTAGCTATCCAGTTCTCCCAAAGACCACCCAGGAGAAGCTGCATCTTTGCTATGCCACATGCCGGTTGAGATTTTCAGTTGAATGGTCTAGGTATTTTCACTTGCTTCTTAGTATCAGTCCTGGGAGCTGCCATGTTGGTTTTAAAATAGTCAAGCTTTACCCACACAATGGGATTTATGGATATCAGGCCTTTTGCAGGAGGGTGGTGTGTCTCCTTTTCCCTCTCCTTGTGAAAAAAACAGTAAATGGTGCTGCCTTTAGACATTCATTCTAGTGCATAATTCGAGGGAAAAACATGCAGTACATCTCTATAGAGCATGTACATTTCTGATGTTACATCCTTTTAACTGGTTCCTGCCCGGCCTATTGTACAGTGACGGCTGGGTGGGAGCGGTCTCGTTCTGGGAGGACGTCATATAACATGTCACGCAACACATCACTGATCTGGATAAAAAGCCAGTAACGTTGGCTCTTTACCATGTGATCTGCTGTGTTCAATCACAGCTGAACACATGTAAACTAATGCTGGTTATCGGCATTTCCTTTCCTCAGCACTGTCGCTGTTTGAGGAAAGGGAAGCCGATAACTGACTTTTCTGTTACAAGGGACATTTACACTGAAGGTTAGAGCACTGATCATTACTGCAACATATTGGTGCACATCAGTGCCTCTTCATCAGTGCACTATCAGTGCACATCAGTGGAGCAGAAAAATTACTTTCTAAAATTTTATAACAAACACATTTTTGGTATGTTTAGCAAAAAATAAAAAACCCAGTGGTGTTTAAATATTACCAAAAGAAAGAGCTATCTGTCTCAAAAAATAATTTAATTTGGGTACGGTGTTGCATGACTGCGCAATTGTCATTTAAAGTGCAGCAGCACTGAAAGCTGAAAATCAGCCTAAGCAGGAAGGAGGTAAAAAGGCCTGGTATTGAAGTGGTTAAAGACCCTGCAAGCACAGAAAATACCTGTTGATCTGCCAGAATTGCACTCGGCTCCCAAGTCTTGTTGTGGGCTGACTACTCGCATCATTTATTTGGACTGTGTGGTGTCAGCCCTGCCCAGTTTGCTTTTGCTAATTATTTAGTCCATGCCACATACTATATCCTTATCTTCAAAGCATAGACAATAATTAACTTACAGTCCAAAAATAGAAACTAAAAGGGCTAATTAGTCTCTATGCACTAACACAGGAAGTGTGCACAAGTCACAGGGACAGCTCTGAATCTCTGAGAACGTCAGATTTTGTATTTTTTTTTTTAAATATTAAAGAGACATACCAAATTGCTTTCAATTGTGTATTTAACAGACCAGTTGGGAGCATACATTTTAAATGCCCACACCACATTATAGCGTTTAAAATAAATAAGATGTCTGTACTATACAGTCCGGTCCATAAATATTGGGACTTCGACACAAGTCTAACATTTTTGGCTCTATACACCACCACAATGGATTTGAAATGAAACGAATAAGATGTCCTTTAACTGCAGACTGTCAGCTTTAATTTGAGGGTATTTACATCCAAATTAGGTGAACGGTGTAGGAATTACAACAGTTTGCATTTTAGTTTGTTTTTCAATTGCGTTGTACAGTTTATAGGTCACATTATAGGTACATTTGTCTAATTTTTTTACATCACAGAAACCTGACATTTTAACAGGGGTGTGTAGACTTTTGATATCCACTGTACAATATATGAGGTATACTATGCCATTCCAAAACCATGAGCATTGATACACGACTGAACAGCACTTTGGGGATATAACAGGTTCCACTGGAAAGCGCGTCTGTGGAAATTTGGCGCATTTAGTTAAAAGAGCATTTGTGAGGTGTAGTACTGTGACTGGACGAGAAGGTCTTGCACACAATAGGCATTTGAGTATATCCCAAAGATTTTTAATAGGGTTGAAGTCAAGTCTCTGTGAAGGCAACTCAGGTTCCTCCAAACCAAGCTCATCAATATCATTTGTGGGCACAATCACGTGCTAAAACTGTCATCACAAGGTTGGAAGCACACAGTTGTTTAATATTTCTTTGTATGCTGTAACATTAACAAGAACCTTCATTGGAAATAACTGCACTCAATAATTAGGAGGGGGTGTCACATACAGCAATTTTTGCCATATAGTATGTGAGATTATCAGGTGTCCACAAACATTTGATCATCTAGTGCAGTGGTGGGCAACCTTTTTTTTCAACTGAGCCAAATCTCGCCAAAACCACGATTGAAATTTATTTTGAGAGCCACATTTTTAAAACTGAAAATACATCCCCCATATAGTAATTCATCCCCCATAGTAATTCACCCCCCATATAGTAATTCATCCCCCATAGTAATTCATCCCCCATATAGTAATTCATCCCCCATATAGTAATTCATCCCCCCTATAGTAATTCATCCCCCATATAGTAATTCATCCCCCATATAGTAAATTCATCCCCCATATAGTAATTCATCCCCCATATAGTAATTCATCCCCCCTATAGTAATTCATCCCCCATATTGTGTCAATTCACTTACCTTTGCTCCGCGCGTTCCTTTCGCTGTGTTCCCGCGCCGTTCTGGTCTTCATGGCGGACTGTGAGAGGAGAGGAGTTCGTCACGCTGCCCCGCCTACATCCTGGCTGCCCCGCCTACATCCTGACAGCTGCAGAGTCCTGACTTTTGGGGCGGCCGCCCGAGAGGAGGGAAGGGAGCGGGCGCCCGGCACACAGAAGAGCCGCATTTAAGTTTGTAAAGAGCCGCATGTGGCTCGTGAGCCGCGGCTTGCCGACCACTGATCTAGTGTATTTGGAACATAGGTTGGCTTTACTCAGATTTGGGCAACCTATGGCTCTCCAGTTATTGAGACGTTTACAGGTACCACTATGCCAGGGGTATAAGCAGGAGTTACAGGCTAGCTAAGGCTCACAACCTAAAGACAGACACCGAGCACAAGTAACAAATGTTCTCTTTTATCAGGTACTGGCACCGCTCCCTAAACCCTAGAAAACTGGTAGAGGTGAAGTTTTCTCACCTTAGTAGGAATATGACGTTACAGAGGACTATGAAGCTGTACAGACTTCCTGATGTAAGATTTACTATTATCTGATGCTGCAAACTTTGTCATTTCATGGCCTAGTGCTGCATATTGGATCATTTCTCTAGTTCTGCTAACTTATTTCCTACAAATGTCTTTCTAATGTTACCTCAAGTCTTTAAGTGTACCTTTTATTTCAAAATTGTTTTGTGAGATAAGCATTGTTGGGGAAAAATGCAGACATCAGTTTAAAGCAGACGTAAGCAGCTGCAAAAAATGACACATTTTGGGCCCCAAGGAGTTTTTTGCCATGATATGCAAGTATACACAGTGTATTTTCAGATTATGGCACATTTAGGCAGCAAAGCGATCTATGGGCAGCACTTCCTTCTACACCTAGTCGTCTTCTGGGTTATACAAGTGGATTTTACTGCAGTCAGTGTCCTATCACCTTAAAGTGGTTCTAAAGCTTTTTTTTTTTTTTTTTTCTACTTGAAATAATAAACATGTTATACTTGCCTGCTCTGTGCAATGGTTTTGCACAGAGCGGCCCTGATCGTCGAGCCTGGCAGTCATGTGACGGAGCGGCGTCATCCCGGGCCCAGTCACATGACTGTGATGTCAGCGCAGGTGCTCTAGGCCCCCGGAATCCAGCGTACATCGTCTGGCCAGGCGCACCAAGTGCGGATGAGGTGGTCTCCCCCGCACTTGGTGCGCCTGGCCAGACGATGTACGCTGCATTTCTGGGTGCCTACAGGACCTGCACTGACGTCACAGTGGCTTCTGTTAGCAGGGTACTTTTTTTGATGGCTCCTAACCAGCCCCAAGAGGAGGAGTGCTGAATGGCTTGGAGTGTCGTTTTTTTTGAAGCTGATTTGATCTTAGTTCTGGTGAGTGCATATTGGTGAAATATTTCACGGATGCATTTTCACAGTTGAATGTATTTTCACTACAAGTGAGGACTTTAGTTCAAACGTACTGTTTGCACAGTCACACTACTTTCACTGTGCACTTGCTTTTTACAACTTGCTTTATTTTTGCACAGACCATGGAAGCTATTGATTTCTAATGTACACAATATTTCTGAATATTGATATCACTGGTATATTATCTAGAGATCATTTGGTATTCGGTGTTAAGGAAGACACATTTGTATACATTGTCTTATAGCGCAGCACTTTTTGATTTATATGTATTTGATTATGGGGTGGGTTCACCATATGTGCTAGCTGCTTCCAGATCTCCAAGCGCTCACTTTATCTTTGTTTTTCATGGTCTCTTGCACAGCCCTAGATCGCAATGGGGTTCAGGTAAGTATAGGGGGGGGGGGGGGGGGTCCAAGGCAAAGAAGGTTTTTTTGACCTTAATTCATAGAAAGCATTAAGGTGAAAAAAAAAAAAAAAACCTTAAAGCTTTACAACCACTTTAAAGAAGCTGCACATAACCTGCGGTAATGACCATGATCCTGTGCCCCATATGCTATCCAAGAAACAAATTATGCTTAAGGGATCTTCAGAATTTGGGTTCCATAGAGATGAACCTGTATATCTTCCTGCAAGTGCCAATGTAAACACCCATGCATGATCCAGTATCCGATACAACATTACAAGCTGTCCTCACAGCATTGGGCCTAGGTACAGCTCCCAAGGGTTTCCCTTAGTTTGCACTGATCCTAATGCACTGCATTCATTGTTTTATTAGAAAACAGTGAAGCATTGATTGAAGAATCCAGATATGAACTAATAAACTAGTTAAGCTAAGAGTAATTTCTCAGGGAAGGAGAAGAGGTCCATTACCTTGGGACCCTAGCATTAAACTGAGGACTCGAGGAGTTGGGTAGGATGAGAGGGAAGGTGCTCAGGAGGCATGTCTTGAAAAGCTTTGCCAGTGTCCACTCACTGAAGGTACAATCCTATACCCCAGGTCTATGAATACTCAGCCTGTGTCCTGTGCTGTATGATTAAGATAATGGCATATTTCTTCCTTTCCTCTAATTTTAATATTGATATTTTTGTGCCAACAGTCCTGTTTTCTTCGGGGTTTGGCCTACAAAATACCTGTCTGCTGATGTCAAATTAGTAGGACTGCCAAGTCATTGAGCAAAGAAGACTTAAGTTTATTACTACATCATTACAAAGCAAACAGTATTAATATAATATACCCATAATCAACATCAGTTGCTTTAATATAATATATGTTGCCCTCTCAGCTATGTAAAAAATAACTATATATGATTTACAAAAATATATTTCTGTAATGGTCTATTGTACGAGTCTGGCTTCGCCACCTGAATGCTGCTAATTACATCTCAGCACCAGGAATGTTGAACTGACAGGACTGCTTGACATCTGTCAAGTTCTGTCAGAACTTCACCTTTTGATAGGATATTAGATTGGCCACACGCTACTCGATTTCAGCACAGACACTTCTTGTAATTCTGGTGTACATTTTCTTGCTAGTTAGTGAAATATTGTAAAGCACTGAATGCAGGCACCCCATATTAAAGGAAACCCTCTAGGAAAAATGTGAGGTCCCAACTTTGTGCTAACGCGGTCATCTGATGGTTCACGATTGGAAAAAATAGCTGCCATAATTCTAATTTTTTTATCTCTCCTCGCCCAGCCTGCAGATTGCTCAGTGTAGGAGCAGCACCATATTCACAAACTCATCTGTGTGCACCCCCATCCATTGAGCATTATAAGTGTGAGTCAATAGAGCCCGATTTGCTAAAAGTGTTGACTTTTCCAGTCTATGTACTGGTGTACAGAGGGTTATAGGAAGCGAATATATAGATTGTGGCACTTGCGACCTTTAAAAATACATTTTGGTAAATACATCACTGAATTAAACTTTGTGTTTAAATTGAATAAAATATATTTCGGGTGTATCAAAACAAAAAAAAAACGTTCAGTGTCTTAGGCTCCATGCACACTAGGAGCTGAAAAATTGCTGGGAAAAAAACACAATATGAGCTTTTTTTTACCACCCGTTTTTCCCTTTTGTGTTATGGAGTTTTGCCAGCTTTTTATCAGAGAAGCTGGATATTAAGGAGTGGGCTGGCAAGCTGGCCACTGCGTCCTTAACAACCGATGACTTATCAGCTGGTCCCCAACATGGGGACAAGGTGCTTTGGGGGGGAAGGGGGTGGAGCAGCACCCCCCACATGTTGAGGGCATGTGGCCTTGTATGGTTCAGGAGGGGGGCGCTCGCTTGTCCCCCGTTCCTCCTCCTCTTTCCTGGCCTGCCAGGCTGCATGCTCGGACAAGGGTCTAGTATAGATTTTGGGGGGACCCCCATGCCATCTTTTTAAAATTTTAGTGTGGGGTTCCCCTTCAAATCCCTATCAGGGTTTGTTATAGATTTGGTGGGGAGGCAGTGAGGTTCCCCTTAAAATCCATACCAGACCCCCACACTGTTTTTCTCAAATTATTATTGCTGGGAATTCTCTTGTATACATTCAGCTGTCAGCCTTACAGTTTTTTTTTTTTCTTTACAAAGCAGCCGCAGCCAGAATAGAAAAGTCTGTGTTCCTGCAAAGAAGGACCTTTGCTCTCTGTGTGGAAACAGTGGTCCCTCTAGAGAGCTTTCCAATCAGCAGGTAGCATGAGCTTTGATTGCAGAAGTACAGGCCTGACCAGTAGGGGTTGTGCTGGACCTCTCAAACCTGAAGGTTCATTTGGGCGTTAGGCTAGATTCACACTATTGCACGTTGGGAATGTGAGCAAAATCATTTGCTTTCCTGACACGCAGCAGAACACGCTGCCCTTTAGCAGACGCACAGCGGTGCAATTGTTAACCATGTGGTTCGGTGCAGCGTGTAGGAAAACTCATTGAAATGAATGTAGGTGTGAATCTAGCCTTAAAGGATGTTTTCTCTATTTGCCTGGAGGTCTGCAGCAGTTCTTGAATACAGTTTTATTTTTTTACCAATAAGTAGAAACCAATGATTTTAGCTAGCTGTTCTCTTTAATCCTCATCTGCTCGCTAGCTTGTAGAAAAAATCTGTATTTACACAGCCACACTGTGCAAGTCTAGTCATAGTTCCTATGAGGTCGGGGTTATGCATCTAGTGTCTTTGTAAACACAATGAGCTTTGCCAATAGATTTTTGATAGCTGATCTGAGCTGCCAGACAACAGTACTGCAAGCCATTAATTACCGCATGCTGCTCTAATTATAGTATCCTCCAGAGCTTGTACTAGAATGAATGTACGACATCCTGCTGATTGCACTGCACTCCTTTCACCTCTTTATTTTCCCTCCTCCCTTCTTATCAGGCAACAAAGACCGCCGGGTTACGGCCGATGGAGAGGAAAGACGTCGCCATGGTCCAGCACTTATTGAATCACTATTTAAGTCAGTTTAATCTGGCTCCTGTGATGGATGAAGAGGAGGTGTTACACTGGTTTCTCCCTCAGGATAATATTATAGATACCTATGTTGTAGAGGTGATTGTTAAACTCTGATTTTTATTAAGATAAACATATATTAAGAGGGAAACTGTAAAAAGTCATTAGAAAGTAGTGCTCGCATGTTAGTACATTTAAAGTTGAACTCCCAAGAAAACAGCTAAAATACACAGATAATACATACAAGGGAGCTGTTTTACCTGCTGAATTATTTTTTTATTCCTGTTGATTCAGTCCTGAGATGTACACAGCTCTGCCAAACAGCAGGACGTTCTGGCAGGTCAGGAAATGTGATTTCTTAAGCTGCAGTCAAGCAACACTTACAGGTCTTGTCCCTCCCTCAGCCTGTGACTGGACAGTGAAAAGAGAAGCAGCAGACTAATAAAATCCTCTCTCTGCTACTCTGCTTTCTCCTTCCATCAGCATGCTCCTTGCAGTGAAGCACAATGAATTGGCTTCTTGTTTTTCCTCTGCTCTCCCCCAGTCTGAGCACTAAGGTGAGAGAGCAAGAGCTTGATACAGAATCAAAATTTAGGCATTTGCACTGCTTCCAAAATATATTTAAATATGTATTAATACAGGACTGCATTAATATGTGTCTTTTATATCTTACTTGGATGAACCTGTAATATAAAGCAATGTTAACAGTCTTGGTTGAATGCAAAATCAGAGAATAGTAGGAGAGCCTAAAGTGTTACTAAACCCAGGACCCTGCATTCGTTATATCCAATCTTGCACAGTACACAGAACATGGAAATGCAATTATTTTAGTAAATATAAACTGCTAAATGCCTTTTCTCATCAGCAGTATATAGCAGTCTTGTGACTTCTATCAGTGTCCGGCTAAGCACTGGTTAATCTTGTAGGAGGAGTTTTTCATTCTCCTCTGGCTGTCCTGTGAGGCTGCATAACCCCTGACCCTCTGGACAGCACAGATTGGCCCTGTGCTGATCATTTGTACCCTCCCAAAAAAAAACCTCTCTAGCAATACACACCAAACTGAGCATGAGCAAAATGTCTCCTAGGGCTCTGTACTATAGCAGATGGATTGGAGACTGTGGAAGAAGGGGAGGATCGGAGAAGACAGGATCAAACAGCCTTTTTACACAATGCAGAGGATTAACCCCTTAGGTTCCACAATAAGTATAACAATCATGCTTTACTGCATATACAGACTGATTTTACAGTTGTGGGTTTGGTAACACTTTAAGTATTTTGAAATACCACTACCGGTTTCCTCCAACATTGATGAAACACTGTTTGGAAATCCCAGAGCTGTCCACACCCCCTACAGGGTGACAGTGCCTGTGTGTGTGCATTGGTGTTAGAAGGAGACAGTGCAACTGGAATTTCAGCAGCTGTCTTGCAGCATTGTCAGCCCTCTCCCAAAAATAATCTAGGGTGCTTAAATTGGGCAAGATCATTAGGTTAAAACAAAGAGAAAATGAGGAACCATCTCAAGATGAATGTGCTTAGCGGAAAAGGTGTAGGATGTTGTATAGCTAACATCAGCATTGTCAATTTACCTATACTTAGATTATTTATGTTTCCTGAGGGGCAGTGCAGCTGCTGATCAGAAGTGCTGATCCTCTGCTGGTATGCTGCACTGTCATCTCTCAGTCTCCATTCAGCCTATGAGAGCCTCATCATGTCTGAGCTGGATGACGTCCAATGTCATCCAGTCTCTTCATGGGCGTCAAGAATCCTCTCTCTGTAGTCCTCGTCATATGAGTGTCTGCATTCTAACATATCCTGCCTTGTGAGGGTCCCCCTACTCATTGTGCATTAAGAAGATAAATACAATTCTGTGCTCTCATTCATGTGTGACAGTGCTGTAAATGTGATGATGCAGTCTAAGTTCACTGATCATTGCGTGTTCAGCCACGCACAGGTTCACCCAAAGGTCCTGATGATTCCTCCCCCCAGCAGCTGCTATTGCACTGCACTGTCAAACCTGCATTTATTTGCTTTTAGAGGACATTTCTAAATACATAGAATTGTATGTAAAGATTTTTCATTGTGCTATTCACACTGTGCATTTAGGTGCGTTCAGTGTGGCTGAGGAATTATATTCTGAGAGTTCAGGATCTAATCAGACACTCTGAATTCGGGTGAATGCTGCTAAACCTGGTTTAAGACCGGAACATCTAAATGCAGGAAAATGGGATCTGGGAGGCAGAAAGTTATGATGACATCACTGGATGTGCATATTGCTGCAACTGGAAAAGGGAGACGAGGAGGGTTTTTTAAAAAAAATGATATTTGCTGTAATGTCAGGAGAAATGTTTGAGGTGGGTTACATTGCTTGTCTGAAGATAACATTTAACTGCTTCCCAACTGTGCTATAGCCGAAATACGGCTACAGCGCAGTTGTCTAGTTCTGGGAGGGCGTCCATGGACATCCTCCCAGAACCTGCCCCCCTGTGCTCTGTCAGTGATCACTGTGTCTTACGGACACAGCTGATCACATGATAAGGTAAAAGGCCAATCACAGAGGCAATCCAATGACACAGCAGATCACAATGTAAATATAGGTGCCAGTTATCAGCTGCACTTTCTTCACACTGTCACATCGTGAAGAAAGTACTGCCGATAACTGGCAGACGTGACGGGAGATCTGCACTGATAATCAGGGCATTGATTTTCAGTGTCACCCATTTGTGCCCAGCAGTGCCACCTAGCAGTGCCACCCATCGGTGCCCAGCAGTGTCGTCCATCAGTGCTGCCCAGCAGTGTCGCCCAGCAGTGCCGCCGGTCGGTGTGATCAGTCAGTGCTCACTGCATATCAGTGCCTCCTCATCAATGCCCACCAGTGCTACCTCATCAGGGCTACCTATCAGTGCTGCCTCATCAGTGCTGCCGTGCCCATCAGTGCTGCCTATAATTGCAGCCTCATCAACGCGCATCAGTGAAGAAGACAAATTACCTGTTTTGCAAAACTTTATAATGGGAGAAAAGAAAACTTATTTTTTTTTTCAAATTTTTCGTTAATGTTTTCATTTATAGTGCAAAAAATAAAACCCCCAGTGGCGATTAAATATCACCAAAAGAAAGCTCTATTTGTGTGAAAAAAATTATAAACATTTCATATGGGTACAGTGTTACATGACTGTGCAATTTTCATTCAAAGTGCAACAGCGCTGAAAGCTGAAAATTGGCCTGGACAGGAAGGGGGTAGAAGTGCCCGGTAGGCTAGTGGTTAAAGTGTTTCCAAAGGCAAAACTTTTTTCTTTAGGTTTGGATACAGTAAGGAAGGATTAAAAACCCTTACAAAGTAATTTTTTTGCTGTCTGTGTACCATTGGGGAAATTTCCATTTACTGGCCCAGAAACTCAACAGGAAGTTAGAGGAAAATTAAAGGAATTATTTTTCTTAGCTGTCCGCACAACCGATGTCCCAGTTGGAAGATTTTTCCTCACCTGTGGTTCTAAGGACAATGCTAAGAAATTCCCTCAGTCTTTCTCTTATGAAAATGGTCACCAAAACAAATATAGAGGGTGAATCTCCCTACAGAGGACACAGACAGCAATAAAAACTCAACAGAGAGTCTAACCCTTCCCTACGCTTTCCACAACTAAAATGTTTTGCCTAGAGATGCACTGTAGCTTTCAGTTTAAGGATTAGCATGCACTTGATTAGCAGAGAGGATAGTGCAGTGCAGGACCCTAACAAAACAGTGCAGGAATAGCAAACATTTTATTCTCACCTGCTCTGTGCAATAGGACCTCCTTTTCTGGGGTCCCTGGCTGGTGCTTTCCACTCCTGCTGTCCTGTGGCCATGGTGATCATTGGCTCCTGCTGCTTTCAATCAATTCCTGTGACCAGAGTGCAGAAGCTGTGGGGCCAAGCGGGCTGTGTGTGTTTATAGGCACACAAAATCTGGATCAGGAGTGAGCCTGCCAGTCTCTCTGATAGCAAGCCATTAGCAAGCAAATGGTTTGCTATCAGGGCAGACATGTGGGCTCACTCCCAAGGCGCACACAGCCCGGCTCGACTACGCCCTGATCACAGGGTTTGATTGACAGCAGCAGGAGCCAATTGCTCCCTCTTCTGTACAAACTTCCTGTGTGAAGAGAGAGAGAGAGGGGAATAGAACTGCAGCCAGGCACAGCACTGGATTGATACAGGGCTGAGATGAGTGTTTAAGGGCTGTGGGGCACAGCAAGTGGCAACATGTTCTTTGTCTTAATGCAGGGAATGCATTAAGTTAAAAAAAAAATTTAGCTTTAGAACTACTTTAATGTGTATTACAGCTTGGTAAAGCCTTTGTATGTATGTAACACCTCTGCTTTGTGTATTACAGTGTGGTAAATCCTTTGTATGTATGTAATACCTTTGCTTTGTTTTTTCTCTTCAGAGTTCAAATGGTGTATTAACAGACTTCCTGAGTTTTTACACATTACCCTCCACAGTGATGCATCACCCGCTGCATAAAACACTGAAAGCAGCTTATTCCTTCTACAATGTCCACACAGAGACAGCACTGCTGGACCTCATGAATGATGCACTCATTATCGCCAAATTAGTAAGTAATTATCACCCTGTGGATGAGTGAGGGTGCTTAGTATACACTGTGAGAGGTAACACATCTTTGTCTAACACTTCTTACACTGCTATGGAATACAAACCATGTTCTGTCTGTGTGTTTGACATGCCAACTCTGGTATACCACATTTACAGTGGGGGACTAGTACAAGTACACATGGTAACAAAACCATGGAATTTATAGGACATTCAGCAATACCAACGTAGCTGGTCCCATAAGAACCAAAACTCTATCACTGCCACACTACCACAATCCTCACAAACATCTTAAAAACCCCAACACCCATGTACACAAGCCATTGTAGAAATGGCTCTTCAGGGATCTGCACAGAGCCCACACCTCATTCCTATTTGAAAATGTTTGGGGTGAATTAGGGCTCATTTACACTTCAAAATGTGGCATTGGGCATCAAAGCGCCCTGAATGCCAATCAAAGCACCTGTCACTGAATAAAATGGTTAGCTTACAGTTAAGTTCAAATGTTTGCTTTGCTCCAAAAATTATACCCCATGCCACTTTCATGATGCTTCAAAGCGTCTTCAAAGCCTCCATAGAAGTCTTATGACAAAGCTACCTTACAGCACCTGCAGCTTTTGAGAAGCTTTTATTCAGCTTTAGCTTTGCTTTGTTTTTGAAGGTATTGCAGGTAGGAGATATCCCAGGATTAGCTGGGACACCAGCAAGCGAACCAGAGAGATGTCATCAGCAGTCACCTCAGGTTCATGTATATATTCTGGAAGTGTCTGGTGCAGGCATCACATCTGGTGTGCAGCGTGGAGCAGCAGGAAGATGAGCTGTTCCAGACAGGAGTGGAGCAAATAGCAGACGGCACAAATGGTGTCCAACATGGGATTGCTATAGAGGAAGATAAGTGAGAACCAGAGAGAGAGGACTGAGCTGTGAAGGATCAGCAGAGCTAACAGACCAGGGCAGGAGAAACTAGCAATGTCACATGTGGTGCGCAGCATAGGAGCAATATAGCAGGAGCTGAATGAGTACCAGAGGCAGAGGAAGATCAGCAAACCAGAGGATCAGCAGAGCTTGGGGCTACTACTAATTGGGGGATCAGCAGAGCTGGGGATACTACTGAGTGGGGGATCAGCAGAGCTGGGGGTTACTACAGGCAGGGGATCAGCAGAGCTGGGGGTCACTCCTGAGCGGGGGATGAGCAGGGCTAGGGGTTACCCCTGAGTGGGAGATCAGCAGATGCAGTGAGTTACTACTTGGGTGGGGGGTGAAATCAGCAGAGATGGGGGTTGCTACTGAGCCCAGAGATCAGCAGAGCGGGGGGTTACTACGCAGCCAGGGATCTGCTGAACAATGGTACCAATGCTCAATGGGGGTACTAAGGAGCTCAGGATCTGCTGAATGGGGGTACTACTAAGCCGGGGTTCTGCTGGGCCCCTTAAAAACACAGAAAATCAGAACACACACGGCATCTGCCAAGTTTCATTAAAACTTCTAAAAAGCATCACAGACGCATGACCGAAGCATCACGAACACCGCAAAAAAGCATATTGAAGCAGTAGGCACGTTAATGTGTGTTGAAGTTGAAGAAAGTGTAAGTGAGTGTTTATTTTGAGACTGGTCAGTTCTTCCAACATCAGTACCTGAGGGTGATGTTCAGGTGTCCACAAACTAGAAATCACTGTAGTAGGCACTGCTACTCCAGTGATCTCCATTCGCTTCTGGGTCCCATGCAGAGTGGCTACCCTGCTGCTTTGTAAGGCACTAGGTTGCTTGCTCAGCATGGGCACCGTTCAGGGCACCCTTTGCATTTTCTAAATGAATGCAAAGCATGTTCTGATTGAAAAAGGTGAAGAGGTGGGTTGGTGACTTTACAATATTTCATCTCGTCCAATCAGAGAACACTTTGGGCTTGATTTACTAAAAGGCAAATAGACTGTGCACTTTAAAAGTGCAGTTGCTCCAGAGCTTCCATCATCCAATCATGTGTAAAAAAAAAAATGCAGTTTTTTTTAATTTTCCTTGCATGTGATTGGGTATTCTTTGTAAAGTGAAGCTTCACCTCATTTGCTAAGCTCTGGAGCAACTGCACTGGAAAGGTCACAGTCTATTTGCCTTCAGTAAGTCAACTCATTTGTGTTCATGGAGAAAATAGAAAGTGTCTTCTGAATGACGCCCATGTGAAGTGGGTGATCTCCTGTGTTAAGCGGACGTTCAGCTGCTCGGCACAGAACCTGGACCGTAGCAAGAATTGCTGTAGAAGAGGTGCCTATTACAGTGATTTACAGCTCCCACAGCTGGGATCCCACAGGTATGGCCCCTACATACTTGAATTGGTCTAAGCTGGATCAATATAACTATGGAAAAATCTCCATACCTGGAATTGATCTTTAAGTTCTAAAAGCCTGTTTGTCATGAATCCGTATAATAACCCGAGTGACAATCATTGTGAACTGACTTTTACACACATTTTTATGGTAAATTTGCAGACTCGCTGCTCTGCTGGATTTAAAAAACTGATACAAAATGGCTCAAATGCTGAAAAAGTGCTAAATTACTGTGAGAACAGCCCATTTGAAGCTATAAAAAGCTGTAAAATGAGCTATGTAATGAAAACAGAAAAGTTTCATTTAAAAATGTAATTTTTAGGAACAAGGGAAGGCAACATGTAAGCAGATTAAACTTCAGATTTAAACAAACTAATTCCATTCCCAATCTTGAATGTTCTGCAGAAAGGATTCGATGTGTTTAATGCTCTGGACTTGATGGAAAACAAAACTTTCTTGGAAAAGCTGAAGTTTGGCATAGGGGATGGCAACTTACAATATTACCTGTTCAACTGGAGATGCCCAGCTACGGAATCTGAAAAGGTGAGCAGGCTTTGCTGGAATAAATCCTGACTTTCTAGGGCAAACTTTTGTTTTCTTGTGCATTTCAAGGGCTCAGGATTGTCTTCAGTGTTTGTTTCATGCTCCATTTCATTAGCCACACAAAGGCTCATGTATGAAACTTGTAGACCTACAGACACATGGATGGGGTGCACCTTACTCTCATCTGCACAGCTGTAAAGTAAAGCAAGTGTCTGTAAAACAAATTTCATTTCTACCAAGATTCCATGCACGTGCTGGAGTCCAGCTGAACCCTTTTCTGTAGCTCTGCCATATTGTAGTGGCCACAAAAGAAATCTTTAGATGCAAATTTGAGTGCATTATTGGATAATCTTCTTGCCAAATGCAGTTTTATCTGAGTACCTAAGTTGTCTTTTACTTAAAGCCAAACTCCAGGATATTAGCAAGTCCCCCACCACTTCTCTCTTCCACCCCCTTCTAAGGAACAGCTGCTATGAAAAAAAAAAAAATATCCAAATGCTCATTTTACGTACCTAAAGCCACGGTCATGAGAAGATCCTTCTCTCTTCCTCTTTACTTCCTGGGGTCCTTATTTTGGTGTAGACGTCACCTATTGGTGGAGGTGACACTTTCAGCAGCCAGGTCCTCTCTCATAGGCTCCAGAGGCAAGAAGAAATAATGAGGCATCAACAGTGAGGCTCTTACTTTCCATTCATCATACATCAGCATCAGAGGTTGGTCATCAGCTCTGAGGAAAGGGATTCATCCCCGAAACGCGTCAGTATTTGACCGCACTGACAGTGAGAACACCTTGCCTGCCGTTGTGGCCATTGTCATTTTTCTATGCTTTTTAGATACATGCTTCGTCTGTGAGTATGTTTTTATTATTTCACTCCTACAATAAACCTTGGATAATGCACTAGGTGTGTGCACCACCTGTTTTTTCTCTCTAAGAGAAATAATGGGGGCAGTGAGGGGACCAGCGTCCAAGAAGATAACAAGCAGGGAAAAATGCTCTGTCCTCGGGACAGGATATTAGCTTTTGCTCATAGAGGAAACCGGGACTTTGATCCATTACACTGCAGGATGGCTTAGGAAGAGGTGTTTGCAATTAGGACTGATGAGTAAGGTAACTGATGCACAATGCGCTATTCAAATTTCATTTTTGACTGGAGTTGAGCTGTAAAGTAAACCTCCCTTAGAGTGCACCTGTACAGTACTTAATTTAAAGCTGTTCAGTCTTGCTGTAGTTGGACAAAGCTCTTTTGGCCCTACATATCCTGTGGGTCGCAGGAGTGTACTTCATTCTGCACTCCTGTGACCCAAATTCAGCTGACAGTGGGCTTTACTCTGGAGGGATCCCGACTTTATTGTTGGGATCCACCCAGATGCCTGACCAGCTTAGCCGCTTCCGTCCCCAGCACAGACTGGTGCTCCAGTGAGCGCTGGAGGGGCAGAGCAGAGAGCCAGTGACTGACGGTCACAATTCTCTGCTCACTGAAGACCAAGAACCAAGTGTTCAACTATCGTGTGATCGCTCAATTCTCGGTCTTAGAGGCGGCAAGGGACAGATGCAACATTGGATCGGTGCTGCATTTACCTAGTTGTGTATGTGGGTTTGCATTTTTCAAAACCCAATACTTCTCTTTAAAATACTTACTCTGAGGATTAATCTAAGGAGTGGCAAAGTTGCAATATATATTTCTGTCCTTGGGTATAGATATACTTTCCCTTTAAGCTATAAGTCTGCATTAATCTTCAAAACTCACATTTTAATAGATTTTAGCCATCTTAGGATGTCAGAAACTCTTGTTTAACAATCCATTAGGCCACATTCACACTGCAAAAATGTTCCGGCTTTGGCAAGAATCAAGATAAGCAAATATAAAATATATAGTGCAGTGCTAGCATCAAATCACTATACACTATATATCTCAAACGTGATATTACAAACAAATATAAGTAAAAACAAAAAGTCATCCACAATTATAATGTAATATCCTTTGCCCTTAACCTCCTTAGCGGTATTCCCGAGTGTAGCTCGGGGTAAAATGTCAGTACCAAAGAGCGGTAACCCCGAGCTACACTCGGGCTTACCATGCGGCGCTGCTCAGGGGGTCCCTGCAGCACTTACCTTGTCCTTCGCTTCCGCGATGTGTCCCCTGCAGCGTCCCCGGCCATCTCCTTCGGCTGATGCCGGCATCCGGCATCGGGATGTACGGGCGCCGCCGGCGGTGGGAAATTTGAAAATTTAAAAAAAAATGTCATTTTTTTCAAAACGATTTTACATAGTAAAACATTGCTGTTTCAACCCATTTCACATACATTTTGTCCCGAGTGCTCTGTCCTGTGCCCTGCCTGCATTTTGAATCTTCTTTCTAAATGGAAACTTAGAAAAGTCCATGGCGTCCAAAAAGTGCCCCTTTAGGTCAAAAGCGGGTTTAGATCAGCTAGAGAACAGCGATAGTAAATCAGAACCACTTGCAGAATTGAGTGATAATGATTCGTGGAGAAATTCGTCATCAGACACTGAAAACAATTTTGCGACTTTGCTCAGCGATGTGCGAACTTGGCGCTATATTTCAAATTTCAGTGTTTTTGGTTTGATTATATTATTGAATTAAATGTAATATTATTATATTATTATTTTTTATGATTATTTATTAAATTATAATTTATGATTTTGTGTTTCAAATTTTATCATACCCGGGATGTTTACTAGACTCTTGTTCGGACAGATTTCAGTGAGTTATTCCTAAAAATGACAGCCTACAATAAAAAAACTACATATTTCCATGCAAAATAATGGTACTGCTTTCAGCACCAAAAATCTGAAATAATCATACCGCCAGGAGGTTAAATATATGTCACCTTCCATGCTCTTTTTCAGCGGTGCTTCATGCAAAAAACCTCCAGCAGATGTGCTCTCACCTTCCTTTATTGATCTCACAGTAAAGTTGGGTCATACTGCTCATACTGCACTTTTGTCCTTTAGATGGACTATGTTAAATTCTTGGGTACAAGTCTCCTCTACTTAATCATCACCAACTGCGCACCACACCAATTAAAAGTAGCAGGTTCACTTATACAAAGAAGCTCGGGATTCCACAAAATACACCCCAACCTCACCTCCTGTACACACGCTGACGTCACCTGTCATTACCTTGTAGTTATAGAATAACTGCATTTGCCAAGCTATGCTGTAGAACATCTATTTACTTTGGTGTGCCCTTTTCTTGTATTTGTGTTTTTTTTTGGTTTGTTTCTTTTTTTTTTTTTTTTTTTTGTGCGTAATTTTTTTTTATTTAAAATCCAAGGACAAGGCAAACCAAAATAAGTGGATTTTATACAGCATAGCTTAGCAAATGCAGGTATCCCATAACTACAAGGTAAAGACAGGTGACATCAGCGAGAATACAGGAAGTGAGTTGGGGATGTATTTTGTTTGTATGTGCAAACCTTTTTCATTGGTGTGGAGCGGAATTAATGATTGTTAAGTTGAGGAGACTAACATCGGCTGTACCCAAGAATTTAAATTGACACTAAAGCTTCGTCTTTTTTTTTTTTTTTAAATAACAAACATGTCATAGTTACCTGGTCTGTGCAGTGGTTTTGCACAGAGCAGCCCCAGTCCTCCTTCCTTTTTGGTCCCCACCAGCGCTCCTGGCTCCTCCCCCTCAAGTAGTTCCCCCAGGAAATGCCGCTCACCCTGGGGGCAACAATGTGTGCTCATCGATGGGCCGCTGCTCTATGCATCCTCAAGACACATAGCGCCGTGGCTCAGCCTCGCCCTCACCTCATTGGCTCACTGGCTGGTATTGACAGTAGTGGAAGCCAATAGGCTCCTGTTGCTGTCTCAGCCAATGAAGGGGAAGGGTCCCCAGACAGCAGAGGCTGTTGTGAACATTGCTGGATCGGCGGGGGCTCAGGTAAGGATTGGGCGGGGGAGTGCACTGCACACAGAAGGTTTGTCACCTTCATGCATAGAATACATGAAGGTGAAAAACCTTAAGCCTTTAGAACCACTTTAACATGGTCCATCTAAGGGACAAAAATGCCGTATGACAGAACATTACTGTGAGGTAAATAAAGGATGGTGAAATGCATGCAGCACCACTGAATATGAGCACAGAAGGTGGCATATATTTAAAGGCAATGGACATTACATTATAGTTAATTGTGGAGGAGTTTTTTGTTGTTTTTCGCTCCATAAGACACACCTGACCATAAGACGCACCTAGGTTTTAGAGGAGGAAAACAAGAAAAAAAATATTCTGAACCAATGGACTGCAGACACAGTACAGAAAATGACCAGAGACTGCGGATGTACTAAGGAGATGACCAGAGACTGCACACATAGTACAGGAGATGAGCAGAGACTGCACACATAGTACAGGAGATGAGCAGAGACTGCGGACATAGTACAGGATGATGACCAGAGACTGCGGACATAGTACAGGAGATGACCAGAGACTGCGGACATAGTACAGGAGATGACCATAGACTGTGACGGACATAGTACAGGAGATGATGACCAGAGACTGCGGACATAGTACAGGAGATGACCAGAGACTGCAGACACAGTACAGGAGATAGTACACAGAGACTGCGGACATAGTACAAGAGAGACTAGAGACTGCGGATGTACTACAGGTGATGACCAGAGACTGCGGACATAGTACAGGAGATGACCAGAGACTGCGGACATAGTACAGGAGATGACCAGAGACTGTAGACATAGTACAGGAGATGACCAGAGACTGCAGACATAGTACAGGAGATGACCAGAGACTGTAGACATAGTACAGGAAATGACCAGAGACTGCGGACACAGTACAGGAGATGACCAGAGACTGCGGACATAGTACAGGAGATGACCAGAGAGTGCGGATGTACTACAGGTGATGACCAGAGACTGCAGACATAGTACAGGACATGACCAGAGACTGCGGACACAGTACAGGAGATTACCAGAGACTGCGGACACAGTACAGGAGATTACCAGAGACTGCGGACACAGTACAGGACATGACCAGAGACTGCGGACACAGTACAGGAGATGACCAGAGACTGCGGACACAGTACAGGAGATGCGGACACAGTACCAGAGACTGACTGCGGACACAGTACAGGAGATGACCAGAGACTGCGGACACAGTACAGGAGATGCGGGACCAGAGACTGCGGACACAGTACAGGAGATGGACCAGAGACTGCGGACACAGTACAGGAGATGACCAGAGACTGCCGACACAGTACAGGACATGACCATAGACTGCGGACACAGTACAGGAGATGACCATAGACTGCGGACACAGTACAGGAGATGACCGGGAGACTGCGGACACAGTACAGGAGATGACCAGAGACTGTGGACACAGTACATGAGATGACCAGAGACTGCGGACACAGTACAGGAGATGACCAGAGACTGCGGACACAGTACAGGAGATGACCGAGAGAGACTGCGGACACTGCAGGACACAGTACAGGACATGACCAGTACAGGGAGACTGCGGACACAGTACATGAGATGACCAGAGACTGCAGACACAGTACAGGACATGGCCAGAGACTGCGGACACAGTACAGGACATGACCAGAGACTGCGGACACAGTACAGGACAGGAGATGACCAGAGACTGCGGACACAGTACAGGAGATGACCAGAGACTGCGGACATAGTACAGGAGATGACCAGAGACTGCGGACACAGTACAGGAGATGACCAGAGACTGCGGACACAGTACAGGAGATGACCAGAGACTGCGGACACAGTACAGGAGATGACCACAGACTGCGGACACAGTACAGGACATGATCAGAGACTGCAGACCTTTGGGGAGTGGGGGGGGGCGATCGGAAGCAGAAGTTGCACTCCCTCCCTCCTTGTAGTCTTCTGTGACACATCCCAGAAGACTACAGGGCCATTCACAAAGTGCAGCGCTTCTCGCACATGCGCAGTGGGCACCTGACTGTGAAGCCACAAGCTGTCACAGCCGGGTGCCCACTCTGAAGATGCCGGTGCCAGGGAGAGAAGATGGCCGGTGAAACCAGTGATGGTGAGGACACCTCTGGACAGAGGGACAGGTAAGTGTGTCTATTTTAAAATCAGCAGCTACAGTTTTTGTAGCTGCTGACTTTTTTTTCAGCTGGAACTCCACTTTAAGGGCAACTACTTTGGGCCTTGCCTGGCGCTGCCACAGAAGAGCCAAGTGGCTGGCCTGATATTCTAACACGGCGGTGGTGACAGCGGGAATACCGGGCATGCCACTCCATATTCGCTCCATAAGATGCACAGACATTTCTCCCCAATTTTTTTGGGGGGGAAAGTGTGTCTTATGGAGCAAAAAATACGGTATATTCTTTTGTAATATCACGTTTGAGATAAATGGTGTATAGTGATTTGATGCTAGCACTGCACTATAAATATTTATATTTTGATCATCTTGCTGATCAATATGGGAATTGCATTAAGTGCTTAGCAGCTGGTATATGAGTACTACACGTTACACCTTGTTTGGTGTTTTTATTTACAATTGTATATTTTTTGCACTGATTGATGTCTTTAAGGAAAGTGCCTACTAGAGTGGTTTTCTGGATTCTTGTCAAATAACATAAAGTGAACCTTGCAGATTCCTGCAGCTGGATGTACAGGTTGATGCAGACAGTTGCTGTCCCTGTGCCTGAATCAATAAAAAATAGTGCAGCGCTAAATGAATAATAAATGTCATCTCCCAAACGCATGTGTATGATTGATGCGTTTTGTGACGCAAATAATACTGAGAAATGTTACTCAGAAAATGAGCATATAAAATAAAAATAATGCAAATATCTATGAGAAACATATAGTCGTGACAAATACAAAGATATAGAATGTCCAAAATTGTATGAACTTCTTAAAGCTGATGATATCGTCAAAAAACTTCTATATAGTCCCAGAATACTGATTCCATTTGGATGAAATATATATAAACATATAGAATGCGCACTCACCGGAAGCGCTAATAAAAAGCGTGTTGTATCATAAGCTCCTAGACATGCCCTGGTCGCTCAGGTATAATCAGGTGTGTAGCCGGGGATTGGGTGATCTTCCCAGTGATACTGAGAGTTGATAGCCAGTGCCAGTAATCAAACTTATCTGGGGGGCAGGGATGTTCACTGAAGATGGTACATTCACCCTCGGTGACAGATGAGGTCCCCAGGTGGTTCAGAGGACTAACATTTCAATCCCAGGGTCTTGTCTTAGTTTAACCACTTCCCGACCGGCCGTTGCATATAAACGGCCGGACGGTGGCAGTGCAGGGTCGGGTGGCCGTTTATGAACGGCCTCCCCGCACCCTGCTTGTGCGCGCTCCCTGGGAGCGCGCAGCACCGCGATC